ACGAAAAGGCAGTTCGGTGCTGTTCGTGGAGGGGGTTGAGGGAGGGATATGTTTACCAGACAAGCGACATTTCAGAATCAAATGCCTTCTCATATCACAGCTTCTTGCAATTCCTCTTCACACCAATCATCCTGCTAATTCGAGTCGAGACATTGCATTTCCAGCGTAGTAGTAGCAGCTAACAGTCGTATAGAATGAAAGACCGACGTGATCTCCGGGCATGTTTTTCTTTAGCAGATGGGGAGGTCCCTCGTGACACCTCATTAGCAGACTCTTCAACTGGACTAACACCTCCAGTTTCTTCGCGCGCGGCCACCACTCACTGCGTCGCTAGCAGATGGCTCACCACCGCAGCATCAAAGATGAATCGTTTTGTCAGGGATCGAGTGTTGAGACCATTCACGCAATCCACACGCTCCTCAAACTCTGACCCAGTTCAACCAGCTTCAGACGATAGCGGGCGGCCTGGGGACAATATTTGGGAGGCGGCGGAGCGAAACGAGCTCGCGACGTGGTCCTGTTCTTGGCGCAGCGTTCACAGCATCTCGTCGCAGGGCTCAGAGAGTGGTCGCAAGAGAGGCCTTTTTTGCGATGACCTGGCGGACAGCGTGCGAAGCAGGCGTCGTGTGGCCGATTCTAGCAATCGCAGCAGCAACGACGGCTCGGAGAATAAATCGCACGGGAACGGATCTCGGAGGCTGTGCGAAAGGATGAGCAGCGGCGGTAGCAGCGGGGGAAGTGTGAGCCGCTCGCTCCGTGCCGTCAGCCGTATCCGCAGAGAAACTTCAGGTGCCGTTCGCAGCAGAAACTCCGCTCGCGTTCACTCACGCTCGTCCCGTGCAATGGTTTCCGCGTTCCCGTTAGAGTATGAACAGTCAAGATCGGCCCGCGTTGTGTCAATGCCCACCTTGCATAGAAGACTATTATCCGCCTGACAGCTGGGCTGAGCTGCGTCCACCAGCGAAAGGACGAGAGTGGAGCACCAACGCGTTTAGGATTAATGAATAATACCGGTAGCTGATGGGGCAATGCCATTCATTCTGCCACGCTTGCCCATGCCAAGCAGGCAGATTCCATGGCATAGCTGCATTAGTCCACGTAATTTACGTAGGCATGTACTCCTGCAAACATGTATAAAGATTATCAAAATCTCTGAAACGCCCCTACATTGGTTATAAAGTGGTTGCGACAGAGTGATTGGGTGGAGGAGAGAAAGAGAAAATACAGCGGAGGGGTAGGGGCATAGTTAGGGATGGAGTTGAAGGCGATGTGGATGTATTATGAATGATAATGTCGTTGACCATCGCATTTACCGTAAGAGGACAGAGAGATGTGAGTAAAGGCAGTTCCATGAGCCTACCCACTGCCAATCCATATGTTTATTGAGTATAATCATTATGTTTCAAAGAATTCACATATATCTGCAAATAATTTGGCGCATTGGTTACAGTATAGTGGTGTCTGTTAAGTATGGAGTCCAGTCGTCAGCATGATGACAATCAGCAGTCAAGACACTTGTGCAGTCATTCCCCATCCCAAAGCTGCCATGCGCCTGCTTCCTGTACATCAGGTGAAATTGGATCCAATTCCGGTGGAGAGGATTCTGATTGCACACAGCAGCCATGTTCTGAAGCAGGAGGAGCACCCCATGCATTGCTCCTAGCCCCAACCGAGCTGGTATGTTTCTTTAGAGAGGAACCGTCCTGTACAGGAACGCTGATTGATGGCTTTCTGGGACGGCAATTGCTCTGTACCCTGTTTTCCTTGAAACTATAAGATGTGTATGTTGCAACGGTGGGAGTCGGCTGTTGTGATGGTCGACTGTGAGCACCCCACTCCTGTGCAACCATGTGGAGGGGAGAGACGAGCCGGGGAGATGGAGTTGGTGGGAAGAGAGCGCAAAGGTCGTCAACCATCTTGCAGCACGTGAGGCTCAGATTCAGCTCTTCGTCAGGATCAACCGCCATGGGTGCCGATGGCATGACCACATGTAGACTGCCTTCGCTGGAGGCTTCTGTGACTGGTGGAATTGCCGCGAGCTGTGGGGTGCTGTGCATTCCTGAAACCTCATCCTGAAGACAAAGAAAAGAATGCGTAAGTAGCTCAGACGCCGTCGGTCTCTGCTGCGGGACCCGGCAGAGACATTTACTGATGAAATCGTAACATGATGGAGAGACATCTTCTGGAATCTCGGGGAGCTCACTGGTGCATCCAAGCTTGTACAGCACGGACATTGGGTCGGCGCATTGAGACGACCATGGCGGCTTTCCAGTGAGCAGCTCTATCACCGTACATCCGAGCGACCACACATCACACGCCGGACCAATCTCTCCTCCTACCACGACTTCAGGAGCCATCCAGCACGGCGTCCCTCGGAGCTTTTCCTTCCGATCCATCTCATGACTTCTATCAGCTTCCTGACAGTCAGTTGATGCTCTTCTTTGTAGAGAGAGGCCGAAGTCGACTAACACCACGCAGGATTCACCCAGAACGACGTTGCAGGCTTTCAGGTCGCAGTGAACCACGCCTTCCTGATGGATGTAGCTCAAACCCTCGACGACTCCCCTGACGTGACAAGCAACATCAGCTTCGCATAAACCGCTTCCAGAGTCCGTTGAAGAAGCCAGCTCTGCGAGATTGCCCCCGGATGCCAGCGCTAAGAGGAGGTTTCTCGTAGGAACACCGTTCTCCATAGACCAATCAGCTCCAAAGCACTTGACGACATTCGGAGAATCAAGCCGCTGTAGAATTTCGTATTCGTTTTCCAACGCGCGGAGCTCGTGAGAATTCTCGTTCGTAACACGAACAGATTTGACTGCTATTAGCTGTCCGCTGGCACTGTCGAATCCGATGTTCACTCGTCCGAACGAGCCTCTGCCGAGCAACGGCCCTCGAGACCAGCTAGCTCTTCCACTACCGATTTCAGCACTTTCCATCGTTGTGTCTGTGTCTGAGCTAAGAATGGAGTATAGGTAACCCATGAGGATGTCAGCAAAACGGTGGAGTAGAGATTTGTGGGCTGGAGCCCTGCCTCATTCGCGATAGTTCAGAAAACAACTTGCAGTGGCTGGTGGAAACATCAAACGAATTCATCAGAATGATAGTCAAAAGTTAAAGAGCAGCTGATTATGATTCTTGTCAGGATACCGAGCATTGCGGTCCATGGCGGTGGAAGAAGCAGCTTGTGAGACAGGGCAAGTATGCATTGGTGGTGGTGGCGGGGGATGATGTTTGGGCTTTGCAGTGGGAGCGGGTGAGGAACGCGTGGGGAGGATGGAAGCCAGGTGGAGGGGTGTCAAGCAAATTCGGCGACCACGAACCGCAGGTCACCGCGCCGCAGAGAGCAGCGTCGTGCGAGCCTGGCCTGGACGGTCATCTCAAGAAAACCACAACCAAGACCCCTCCGGTTCGCCGTGTGGTACCGCAAAGCAGAGCTCTGTGGCTCTGGTTTGTCATCCTAGCCATTGGTGAAGGCACCAAGGCACCCAGGATTGTACGTTCGGTCTAGCGGTGTTCCCCGGTTAGACCCGCCGCATTGTTATCGAGCCAGAATATGAAGCTCGGGTAAGGGGAAAAGGTTTGGGCTTCAGGCTTCGCGGTTAGGCCCGGTGTCAAGCCTCGTTTCGCTGTTCTCAAGGGGTTGGCTTGTCAAGGCTGCAAAATCTCAGGTTGACGGGACAACGCGGCCTGGTTTTGTCCGCTTCCGACGCTCTCCGTCCAATCAAGGCTCGGAGTGCGAACGACCATGAGCAAAATCCGCTGTTTCCGAGGTTCGTTCCTGGGTATCCAAATTCACACCCACGTCGGTGGAATCTTGGCAAACCACGGAGTTCGATGGAGAAGGGTTACCTGTCGATTCACGTGGCGACCAATGATTTTCGCCAATATGACTGATCACAAGTTCCACGAAGAAGTCACGACAATAACTCGGTAATCGCGAGTCAGCAATACGTTTGTTCCCGTCGCCACCAATGACAGCACAGGGATGCCCACTGACTCTATTTCGCTTGCCACACCATCAACTTCGGGAAAGAATGCTTTGAGGGGGAGAGAATTCCAGCTGTTCGGATGGGTGAAAAGCATGTTCCCGTAGCATTCATTCAAGATGATGTCGTGCCTACATGTTGCGCAAAGGCCGCTGATATTCATGAGATATTTATGTTTTCCCGTGGCAGTGGCCTTTGCGCAAGCGTTGTCGTGTTTTCGCTGCTTCGAACAAATCGCGCAGTTATATAATCTCCCGATGTGTAAATGGGTAACCTATTCTCCACACAGCCTCCTGAGTCAGCACTAGACCGCGGGAACCGCCTAAGAGACGAGGCATGGACCCACGCGCAGCGCGCGAGGGACCTAGCCGCGGAATCGCAAGCCGCTTACCAGCGACGAGAAGGCGCACGCGCTAAGGAGCTGAGCGAGGAACGGAAGCGGTGTAAAGAACTCGCCGACAAAACCCATCGGGAAGCGAGTAAACTGATTTTCGAGGGTAACAATGAGGGACGACGACATGACACAGTAGATGTGCACGGCCTGTTGGTCGAGGAGGCGTTGGAGCAGGTCGCACGCCGCGTTGCCGAAGTGAGAGCAAGGGACGGTGAGAGATTAACGGTCATAACTGGGCGTGGCGTACATTCAAGAGGAGGAGCAGCCAGAATAAAGCCGCGGGTGATGGAGTGGGCGGAGAAGGAAAAGCTCGATTGCATGGAAGATCCTAGAAATGGAGGGTGCGTAATAATCAAGATAAAGAGTCCTAGACCTCAGTTCTGCATTGTCATGTGATAAGATGGTGGATTCTTTAATAACCCATGTGTACAAAATTAAGTACGGTAATACATGCAATAGCAATCTTCAGTACATGATGCCTGTACAAGTACAAATGAATGAAATATAATATAATTCTAGACCCTGCTCCAGCAAACCTGATCCGGTAAACCTGATCCACTACATGATCCGGTAAACCTGATCCACTACATGATCCGGTAAACCTGCACAATTCTGGAGCTCTAGAAGCTGATCCACTCGTGCTCTGCACACGTAAACAGGATTTAGAATTAGCTTTGGTGCCACAAAAAAAAAAGGTTAGTGCCTTTTCCTGTCTCAATAATGTATACTAGGAGAAGAGCCCTTACCAAGAATTTCAGGTGCTGTGATTCGTTTGGCCGGGTCAGTCTGCAGCATGCGTCTGACGAGGTCCTTGGCAGCGGGTGAGATGGACGGCCATGGTGCACTGACCATGTCATAGTGGCCTGCCAACACGGCAGAGCAGATTGCCTCCTCCGAAACTGCAGCAAACATAGGGAACAAGAGGGAAACACAGTTCTTTGAGTAAAGAAGAGATGTTGACGAACGAGTGATATGACGAGCACAGAGAAATAAGGTCCAAGAGAGCCTAAATCGTGATGGAAACTCACCATCCCAGAAGGGTGGCGATCCAGTAAGCATCATGTAAAGAACGACTCCCATGCTCCACACGTCACACTCGCTGCCATACTGCTTCCTCAGCACCTCTGGCGCCACATAGTACGCCGTCCCCGCTATTTCCGTCAGCCACTGCCCGTCTGCTCGCTTGTGCCACGTGGACAGACCAAAGTCGAGGAGCTTGAGGGGAGGGAAGGGCGCGGAGAAGGCGGGGGAGCAGGGCGCGGAGGAGGACGCCAGGGAACCCGTGCAGTCGCTGTCGGCCTCACTGCCACTCAGATCAGAAGCCAAGCTGCTGGCACTGCCGATGCTGGGAAAATGACGGCTAGTGCCTGTGCTGCGGCTGCTGGTAGAGCCATGGTGTGTGCTGCCGTCAGGATGCGACGCACCCTCCCCCGCTTCCCGCGCGTCCATGAATGCAATGTTCTCGAGCTTCAGGTCGCGGTGCACCACGCCCTCCGCGTGCAGCCTCGCCACCGCCTCCGCGAGCTGCCGCATCACCTGCTTCGCCTGCGCCTCGCTCATCCGCTTCGACGATGCGCTCCCACTGACGCTGCTGCTGCTGCGGCTGGCGGTGCTTGCGCTGCTGTTGCGTGTGCTGGTTGTGGCAGCGGCAGCGCTGGCGGTGCTCTCAGAGTGATCAATAGCAGACACATCATCCGCGATAGAGGCCGTCGTGAGGACATCATACAACGTCCCTCCAGTGCAGAGCTCCAGGACGAAATGCACGTACGTGGAGTCCTCGTATTGGTCGACAAGGGCCGCTACGGATTGGTGCGATGATACGCGCTTGAGAATGTCGAACTCCGTGCGGAGGCGTGCGAGCTGATCCTGCGACATGCGGCGCTTGTCTACCGTCTTGCACGCGTATCGCTCGTGCGACTTCCTGTGCATCACCACGCGAACCACGCCGTACAACCCGCGACCGATCTCGCGACCTGGAGGTTTGCAAATCGAACGACACGCAGAACGACGACGACGACAGGGGAACAGGTTAGTGAAGATGCGAAGGAGCTGATCGCATTTGTGGCACTACACGCAAGGTTTCTATGCATGGTGCTGACGCAAGGCGCTGATGCATAAGCTTACCTATCAAATAGTTGCTCTCGAGTCGTGTATTCGACGCTGGCAGGCCTAGCACTGATTGGCGATTCGACGCATTTTGCTTCGCGTTATTGCTAGCTTTTCTTTGTGAGCGATCCGCCTTGCGACGCTGCTTGGTGATGGCATGGGAAGGCGTGGTTGGACTATCTGACGATGTGCGACTGCGGCCACCCGTAGAAGCGCAGGCACCCATGTTCAGCCGAATTAGGTCTTTCGTACAACAAATATCCCTGAACAACGGCGAACTAAGGATAATACCCTCCGAAGAAGCGCGATCGTCGCCTTAGAATGCACCGATCTAATTATGGAAGCGACGACCGATAAATCTGGCTGGAGCTTGCGAGTGTGATTGACTGTGAGAGAGCTCGTGAAATTCAGTATGGAGTGAGTGACGCTATTGTTGCTGTCAAGATCGCTTTTGAGCACCGCTGGCGTCGGACATCAAACAGACACCACCGATCACTCGTACAGTATCGTTCCGCCCTACCACGTGTCTGGTTGCGGAGTGCACGGCGACTTGGGGTGGGGTTGGAGAGGAAGCAGGGAAGAAACTGTCGTGCGGTGCGCTGATAGGCATGCTTGCGTCATTTGGCGAAAAGGAGAATGGGGTTGCACGGTCTCTGCGAAGAGGCTGTTTGGCCAACGACGATGGAAATTGGTTTAACGAAAACACATTCTTTCGCTGATGACTGGCGGGTTTGGGTTTGTGGGGGGAAGGGAGGTTGCGTATGGCAGGGAAGCTGTTTGCCCACGCAGATGCCTTGTGCACCAATCACACGCCATGACGTGCAAGCCTCTCGTTTCCTTACAAAGAGGGGATGTGAGAGACGATGACGTAGCCCTAAACGAGGTGTTTGGCGTCAGCAACTCTGTCGCTATTGGACGGTACGATGTTCCTCGAAAGCACAAGGAAGCCTTCCTCGAAACGAGAGGTTTCCTTTGCCAACGTCACGCATGGGCTGTTGTGGGCTGATCAGCACAGGAGTTTGGGTCGGATCGAGCCTTTGGGCGCGCTCTGTCACATCACCATTCCCGCTGACATGGGTGCAACGTGTACTTTTCGCACCGACTTGGAGAGGAAAGAAGCGAGGGAACGCGGGAAAGAAGGCGGCTTTGAGACTCAGGAAACAGACGCGGCAAAGCACAGGCAGTCCACTCGATAATGCTACATCTCTACATGCAATGCAACATAGCACAATGATAACATATCTTACCAATCTGAAGGCAAAAATATTACTCTACATGCATCATGCCATAACTGCATCAAACAAACCACACCCGAGACTGATAAAATATGACAAAATTAACTCCTATCTACCATCTCCCATGCCTGCCTCTGCTGCCTCCCTCTCTGCTTGCTCCAGTATCTGTTCTGCCCTCTTTCTTTTCTCATCCCTCTCATCATCCTTCCCCTTTTCTCTCTTCTCCTTCCCCTTCCTCTCCTTATCCTCCTCGCCTTTCCCAATGCCATCACTCCCAACTTGCTCGCCCTTTGCTCTTGGCTGTCTCAGCACGACAGGCAACTGCATTCTGGCAGCTCCAAGCTTCGCCTTGATCTTGCTACCTAGGTGAAAAGACACTCCTGGGCCAGTCGCACCTGAAACCCTCTCCACTGCCGACCACCCACTCCAACCAACCTCCTTCATCCCTTTATCCCCCACTACCACAATATCACCATCCACAGCCATCACATCCCCATTCCTCCCCTCTACCTCTTCTAGCTCATCCTCCTCCTCGCTTTCCTCAACCCCATCCCCCGTTCCCCCGCCCCCCTGCGCCCTGCCCGCGGCCATCATGAGCCCCGGGAACGCATCTATCGCGGAAGGAACCTGGCCCGCCACCCACCCGCCATCTGCCTCCCTCCTCCGCTTCTTCCGCCCCTCGCCCCGCTCAGCGCCATCATCATTGCGCACCGCGGACGCTGCACCAGTGGCAACGGGGGCGGATATCCCCGCGTCTGGCCTTGCAGGGAGGTCGTCCCCCGCGCCAAGGTGTGACCATCCGCCCCACAGCAGGCGCCCGCCGCCAGGACCACCGCGCGCCTGCGCGCCGCCCGCGGTGACCATCCCCATGCGCTGGTGCAGCGACACGAGTGACTGCTCCGCGCGCCGCCGCTCCCGCCCCTCCTCCACCCGATCCTGCCGCTTGTCCTGCCCCCGAGCCTCCCACACAGGCGTGGCGATGTACGTGTGGGGATCCGGCAGCGCCGGCAGCCATTCGGGAATGTCGCCACGTGGAGGAGGGTCCTCCCCGCTCTGAAGGAAACTGGCGGCGACGAAGCGCGGGTTTCTGGGCACGGGGAAGGACGGGACGGCTTGCGCTAACGACGGCGACGAGATGTCGTCCGCGAATTCGACGAAACGAGCGAGATCGCCGAGCGACGTGCCGACGTCGGATAAAGCGAGGGCGACGTCGTTGGCGTTAGCGTCGGTTCGCCCTGCGAGCTCCGCGTGCGCGTGTGCGGCGTCGCCTACGCTGGTGATGAACCGAGTCAGGATGTCGGACAAGGTCTCGAGCGCTGACCGTTGGATGGACTGGAAGCCAAAAGATTCGCAAATCTGAGCGCAGACGAGCTGCGACACGGAGCGAGTGAAAGGCTCCGCCATGGCTGGCTCGTTCGCCCTGAGATTCCTCGTTCGCAGCGCGAAAAGTTAGGGTTCCCGCCCGCAATGCCTCGTGTGTTACAGGCGTGAAGATCCTTACGAATAAGTGTTTGGTCGCTTGTTTTTTCGAACATTGGGTGTCGCGACAACTCTTCGAAGCTCAATTTCGAGGGCTGCGAGAAGGGTTACTTTCGCGATTGGGCGACCAACGCCTTGTGCGCTGGGGCTGACAGCTTGGTTGGATGCTGCGGAGCACGTCAGTTCGTTCTCAGCGCCTTGCGAATTGTTACCAGTTTGCGAATTGTACCAGTCGCAGGCACCTGCTTGTGATGCAAGCCCAGCTCTGCTCAAACCCACCATCCAACATTTCGTGCACGCGACAGTCGCAACAATTACCCGATTGGACCGGGCTTCGCCCTGTCGCTAACGGCAGCAGACAAGCAACAGTGGTTTCGTTTGCCAGTCTCTTGGAAGTATGTACATTTGAAATTCAAGTTACCAAATCAAACCACCACGACCATGGGTGTTTCATGTCCGTCCATTCTGCACTAGCTGCTCGTTTCCCTCGCTGCTCCCGAGCAGCAGCATCTGCGGTGAACCGAACAACTGTGTCTCGAGCGTTTAGGTGGTAGGTCCGAGGCAATGGACCCTCTTAATTTTAGCGACATAAAAGAGGATCATAATTGGTCTTCGGATGCCATTCCACCCATGAATAACTTGACACATACGAGCTATCACCATAGCACGGCTACTCATCCTCCTCTCGCCCCTAGTTCCGATTCGCCTTCACTCGTCTCCTCATCCGCCGTTCGTCCCTCCGTTCCCACCGCAATGTCGCACCCGCAGACCGTTCAGTTCAACCGGCAAGAGCCGCCGCTATTGGCGGGGTATCTCAACAATAACCCGTATTCATCTTCTCAGACGGCTCACTTCATAGCGTCTAACTCAGTAGGACCCGCTTACAATAACGGAGCCGCGTATGCGTCACTCCAGCATGGCTCGCAACCCGCGCCTGACATGCATTTCTTGCATCCCAACATGGGTTTGTCGCACCCCTCGTCCGTCCCACTCTCGTCCTCCTCTCCGTGGCCTTTTCAAAACGCACCGCCATGTCCGCCGCAACAGCCGTTACCCCAGAACTCGCAATATCCGCCGTCGCCCGCGCAGCCAGCGGGCACGCCGCTTAGAAATCTCTCCTCGTTGCCAGTGCACGCGCCAGCTGCGCACTCCATGAATTTTGGCCCTCGGAACGCTGCCGCTACAGTTGGTAATGGAAACCACATGCCGTCTGCTCACGGCGTGCAATTGGGCGCTCCTGACGGGCCGGCTGCTTTTAACGGACAAGTGGGTCTTTCGGCGCCGGGTCCTGCGTTTAACCGTCAGGCCGTCGGAGTGTCAGGTCCCCTGGCAAACCATCCGATGCGGCCGCGGCATAGCCAGGCGAGCGTGAACCAATCAGGCGCAACCGCTCCCTTCTTCCAAGCCTCCGCCGCCGCCTGCTTGCCCGCTCCGTCCATTCCTTCTGCTCCTTCCGCTCCTTCCGCCCGTTCCGCGCCTTCCCCTCCTTCCGCGCCTTCCGCGCCTTCCGTGTCTTCCGCGCCTTCCGCGCCATCCGTGGGTTCTCAATTCCACCTTGCTTTCTCGACTGCTAACGCGGTGGCCAGTCCGTCCGCCGTTGCCGCCGCGTCTGCCGTTCACTCCGGCAATTCAGCCGCGTCACCCGCTGCTCCACCGCAGATGTCGAACGGCGTGGGGCCTCGCATGACTGGGCGACCCGCAGCTCCCGCTACTGCGTCCACTGCTGCGTACGCTGCTGCGTCCGTTGCCGCGTCTGCTGCTGCTCCTGCTCCCGCTCCTGCGCCCCACAGTGTGGAATTTCGGGCGAACGTGATTAGGATGGTCGTTCAGGAAGGTGCGAGGAACAGAGCGGGCGCCGTCCTACACGGGTCGCGAAGTGACGGCATGCCGGCTACAGCTGCTACAGCTGTTGCGTGCGACACTCTCGTCGCCGCCATGTCGTCGGGTCCAGCTGCTGCCTCACTCTGCGCCCCCCCTGCCTCCCGCTCTGTCCCCCCTGCTTCCGCCCTCCGCTCGCCTTCCGTCCGCGCGCCTGTCTCCTTTTCCCATCCACCTGCCGCCACCGTTGCGCCTGCCGCCAACCTGGCTGCCGCGGTGGCCGTTGCACCCACGACGTTGAATGCAGCAGCCGCACCGGGCGCGCGCCTAACGCTGTGCGACGCAGACGCGCCACTCTTCCCCGACTCTCGCCTTCCCAATCTCTCCGCTGCTGCCTCTGCGCCGTCCGTCTCCCCATCCCCTACCACTTTCCTCTCCGCTCCCACTGTGCACCCGGCGCCCACTCCTCTCTCCGCACCCTCTCCACCCGCACGTGCTCCCCCCGCACCCACTCCCCCCGCACCAGCTTCTTTCGCAAGCCCCTCTTCTCCCGCATCGGTTCCGGCTCACCCGCCTCCCGCCGTTCTTGCCCCCTCCGTTCCTACCCCTTCCGCTCCTATTCCCTCCGCTCCTACCCCCTCCGCCCCTACCCCCTCCGCGCCAACCTCATCCGCTCCTACCCCTGCCGCTTCTGCCCCCTCCTTTCCTAACCCCTCCGCTCCTACCCCATCCGCTCCTACTCCCCCCGCCCATACTCCTTCCGCTCCTACTTCCCCCGCTCCTACTTCTTCTGCTCCCATCCCCCCCGCTCCTAATGCCCCCGCTCCTACTCCCACTGCTCCTACACCCCCTGCTCCCATTACCCCCGCCTCTACTTCCCCCGCTCCCACCCCCTCGGCTCCTACTCTCCGCGCTCCTACTTCCCCTGCCGGTGAGTCTCCCTTAGAACTCCCTCCTTCCACCGCACCGCCCCTCCCCCCCGCTCCTCCCGCCCCGCCTGTTTCACGTGGCACCGCGCGCGCTGCCAATGCCTCCGCCAACGCGCGCTCCTCTGGGGCAAACACGCGCCCTCCCGCCTCCTCCCGCCGCCCTCCCGTCGCTGGCGGGCGCAAGCGCGCACAGGCCCCTTCCATCGACGCAGCAGGATTGTTAGCCAATCAGAGAGCAGCAAGTGTACCGTCACGTGGCGCTATGATGGCGCTTGCAGCGGCAGCGGGAGGGGATGCTGAAGCGGACATGAGGGAAGTGTACTTCCTCATTCTGCACTTTTTGACGGGCAGCCCGTGCCATCGGGCAGCAGAAGTTCTGAAAGAGGAGCTGGAGGAGTTGAATCTGCTTCCACAGCGGTACCACGCGGTGTACTCGCACGGGGGAAGGCGGACAGGCACAAGCAGCGCGAGTGAGGGGAGTGCACGGGGGAAGGTGGGGGTTGTGGGCGCGCAGGGGAGGGCTGGTGAAGGTGGGGGGAGGGGGGGAGGCGTGGAGGGGGAGTCAGAGATGACTGTGTCGATGAGCTACGAGGAGCTGAGGGACAGGTGCGTGCCTGCAGTGCTAGATCAATGCTGCTCTGCTTCGGATGACCATGCAATTTGCGAGTCCTTTTCTAATTGCCTTTGCCAGTCCTTTCCCGATTGGGTCCGCAGGGACAAATGCCTCCGCTCGTTGATTTCACCCTGCCCCGTGCCTCTCACCTGTTGTCTGTGTGTGCATGCCCCGCTGTGCTGCCCCCACCAGGTACTCGCACATAGCACCCAACCACCTCTTCCTGCTGCTGCAAGAGTTGCTGCAGTCGTCCCATCTCGCCGTCTCCTCCGCCTCCCTCCTCCCTTCCGCGCCTCTCTCCTCCTCCCCCCCCAACCCGCCGTCGTCAGCAGCGCCAGCCCTCCCTCCTGCCCCGCTTGCTGCAGCAGCTGTTGCACCCACCGTCGCTGCTCCTCCCTCAGATTCCGCCCTTGCCGTTGCCACGGCGCCCCTCTCTGTGTCCGTTTCTCCCACTGCACGAGAGGAGGCCTTGCCGGGTGGCGCTGCCCCTGCAGCCGCTGCAGCTGTGGGCGCCAGTGCTGCCAGTGGCTTGGAGGCAGGGCAGCAGGCAGGGGGGGCAGAGGCAGCAGCAGAGGGATCTGTGGATGCGGCTGTGGCACAGACGCAGGAGAGCGGGGCAGAGGCTGCTGCAGCGGCAGGGCAACAAGCAGTTGCAGGGCAACAAGCAGCAGCAGGGGAGGCAGCAGCAGCAGTTGGTGAAGCAGCAGGGGAGGCAGCAGCAGGGGAGGTAGCAGCAGGGGAGGCTAGCAGCAGCAGAGCACTCGTGCTGACATCGCCAGCAACGGTGGTGGGAGCAGCTGCAGGGGCAGACAGGGCCGAGAGGGGTGTAGGTGGAGAGGGTGTGTTGGTGAGCGGGGGGACGGGCGTGGCAGCAGCGCGGGACAGGTGGTGGGTGTGTGCGGGTGACGTGCCAACACTGCTGGGCCATGGCAGGATCAGCCTGAGGCGAGGTAGGCGCGGAATAAGGCTGGAGTGGCGGATTGAGGCTTGAAGTGCGGAATGGGGCTCAAGGGGCAATGGGCGTGTGATGACATCCTCCGTGACCAGCATGCATGGACCATGCCTCCGTCATCCCTCCGTGTCCCTCCCTCACATCCTCCTTGCGCTCCTCACCTTGTTTCTCCTCCCCACTCAACTCCTGCTCCCTTCATCCCTCTCCTCTCCACCGTTGTTCCTTTCATCCCTCCCCATCCCATTCCCTCTCCCCTTATTCCTCCTCTTCCCACCCTTGCTCACTTGCATCTCTCCCCTCCCCACCCCTGCGCGCTCTATGTTCCCCCATCTGGCCCCCATCCGTCCCCCAACAACAGCGGAGTGGCTGCCCGCGCTCCTCAATCCTCTGCGCACCGTTCTGCCGCACTCAGCCCATCCGCACTTTTCCGCACCGCTCCTGCGCTCCCTCATGCTCAGAGAGACGGGTGGAGGGGTGTGTTCGCGGGCTGCCAGGGCTGCCAATGCTCGGTACACTACACCCTCCTTGCATGCTGCCACTGCACCATATGTGTGCTCCTTGCTTCCCGTCCAGTCCACCTCTCGTCGCCACTGCCACTATACGCCTATGCCCATTTGTGTCTGCCTGTCATCTCACCCCCCGTACGCCCATCCCCTGCCCGCCCGTCTGCCCTCCGCCCACGCTCACCCGCCCCGCGGTGAGAGCAGGGCTGCATCACTGGCGGTGGCGTCTCCTGCGCTGCTGCTGAGCCGCATGGAGCAGGTCAAGGTGCTGCGCGGCCACCGCAACGCTGTCTACTGCGGTACGTGCCCATTGCCCCCTGCCGCCCTGCTGCCCTGCCTGTGCTCACTGCCCCCATGACCTGCCTGCACGCGCTGCCCGGCTTGCCTGCTCACGCTCGTGCCTCTTGCTGCCTGCAATCATTGCTCCTGACTCAACAGCACACACACACGCCCACCCATTCCTCTCAACGCCCACCTCTGTCTCCCCGCACTCCCCCTGGCTGCCTCCGCCCTCTGGCAGCGGTGTACGACCATGTGGGGAGGTACCTGATAACGGGGTCGGACGACCGGCTGGTGAAGATCTGGAGCATGCACCACGGCATCTGCCTCGCCACCTGCCGCGCACACACGGTAAGTCCCTCCATACGCTCACTGCCATTCCTTCCTTCCGCATGCACATGACTTCATTTGGCTACTGTCTCACTCTGCATGTGTGCGCTGCTCATGCTTGCCTGGGTTGCCATGGCCTACCCATGTGCCTCTGTGTTTTTGTGCGTGTGTGTGTGTGCGTGTGCGTGTGTGTGTGTGTGCGTGTGTGTGTGCGTGTGTGTGTGCGTGTGTGTGTGTGTGTGTGCGTGTGCGTGTGCGTGTGTGCTATGCGTGTTCGTGTGTGCTATGCGTGTGCGTGAGTGTGTGTGCTATGCGTGTGCGTGTGTGTGCGTGCATATATGTGTGTGCGTGCATATATGTGTGTGCGTGCATATATGTGTGTGCGTGCATATATGTGTGTGCGTGCATATATGTGCGTGCGTGCATATATGTGCGTGCGTGCATATATGTGTGTGCGTGCATATATGTGTGTGCGTGCATATATGTGTGTGCGTGCATATATGTGTGTGCGTGCATATATGTGTGTGCGTGCATATATGTGTGTGCATGTGTCCATACATGTACATGCAGGGCGACATCACGGATCTAGCAGTGAGTGCGGGCGACAAGTGGGTGGCATCGGCCTCCAACGACTGCCTCATCCGCGTGGTCAGTGCCGCCCGCCCGTCCCTCTGCACCACGCTGTCTCTCCTTATCCCTGTCCTACCATTTCCCTGGCATCTGCTGTTGCCTTTCCCATCAATCCTCTCCGTGCCTCATCGACCTCTTACCCACTCTCTCCCCTCTGGTCGTGTGTGGTGCAGTGGGAGCTACCGAGTGGGCATCTCGAGGTGACGCTGGTGGGCCATGCAGACGCCGTCACCGCTGTCGCATTCAGCCCCACCACACACCACCACCTCCTATCGTACGTCACCCCTCTCAACGCCCTGCCACCATGCCTGCCCCCCTCTCACGCACTCCTCTGCACCTCCCTCTCCCATCCACCCGCACCCCCATTGCTCTCCGCGTTGCACATGCCTCCCACTCACGTCCCCTTGTATTCTCTCTGCATACTTCTCCTAGTCCCCCCGGCCTGTCCCCTCCGCCCACCCCTTGCTCCTCTCGCCGCCTCATGTGTGACGCTCTACCTTCACACTCTCACCAACCATCCCACACCCTCCCCGCCACTGCCCTCGGCGCCCTTCAGGGCATCGGAGGACGGCACGTGCCGCCTGTGGGACGTCACTGCTGCAGCGGACAGCACCTGCCTGCGCCTCTTTCTGCCCGCCTCCCACGGTACTTCCACCATCTGCTACCACCCTCTACTCCTCTCTACTCCTGCTCTCCGCTCCACGCTCTGCTCCCTCTGCTGTGCGTTTTCCTCTCACAAGTCCACAGCCGTCCCCACTGCCTCATGCCACCTTATTCCATCTCACGCCCTCTTGCTCCTCTGCACTCGCTTCCATAACTCAACCCTCTCTCCCCTCCTGTTCCCCGAATCCCCGTTCCCCGCATCCCCGTTCCCCGAATCCCCGTTCCCCGAATCCCCGTTCCCCGAATCAACGTTCCCCGAACCCTCTGCTCCCACCCTCTGCTCCTAAACCCTGATCTCCTGCTCCCCCCTGCCCTCACTGCTGTGTGTTTCCCTCTCACAAGTCCACGGCCAGTCCCACCCCACTGCCTCATGCCACCCCATCTCATCTCACACCCACTTGCTCCTCTGCACTCGCTTTCATAACTCGACCCTCTCTCCCCTCCCCTCCCCTCCCCTCCCCTCCCCTCCCCTCCCCTCCCCTCCCCTCCCCTCCCTCCCCTCCCGGCGCTGCCCTTCCCCTGCAGCCACCAAGATCCCCTTCCCCCCTGGGACGTTTGTCAACCGCATGCAGCAGGGGGGCAGCGAGCTTGCTCCTGAGGAGCGCGCCAAGGTGCTGCCCCCCCGCGTGCTCTGTGCTGCCTTCAACGCCGAGGGCTCGCTGTTTGTCACGGGCAGCGAGGACGGGCGCACGAGGGTGAGCATGTGGTGCTGATTCGCCCACTCGTTGCCATTTGATTTGCTGTGCCACATCATCACATTCGGTGTCATGCTGTGCCACGTCATCACATTGACTGCCATGCCGTGTCACGCCATCACATCTGACGTTGTGCTGCCCTGCATGTGGATGTGCATGCTCACCTTGTGCCCAGGTGTGGGATGCACGCCTCCCTGCTCTTGCACACAAGGAACCCTCTCAGCAGCAGCAACAGCAACAGCAACAGCAACAGCAACAGCAACAGGAACAGGAACAGCAGCAGCAGCAACAGCAGCAGGAGCAGCAGCAGCAGCAACAGGAACAGCAGCAGCCGTGGGCGGCGGGGGTGGGTGTGGGGGGGCGGGAGAGAGTGGGGGTGCAGCACGAGGCGCAGGAGCTGCTGGGGCACCAGGGGTCGGTCAACTTCGTGCAGTTCAGGTGCGGGCCTCCTCTCCTCTCCTGGGGCAGGCTCCCCTCTCCTGCTCTCACCTCCCCGCCCCTCCTGCTGCCTGCTGCCTGCCTGCCGGCCCTCTAAATTCGGCTGCCACAACTCTTTCTGTCATTCTTCACCACACAGTCCCCCATTGCCGCCCTCTCTGCTCATGCCCCACTCCCCATGCACCCTGCCTTCCGTCCCCTCCCCCCGTTCCCCCCCCCCCCCCCCCCCCTTGCGCTGCAGTGGGTGTGCGGGGGTGCAGCAGGAGGTGACGTCTGGTGGGGACGAGGAGGGGAGGGGTGTGGGGGAGAAGGGGAAGGGGAGTGCGGAGGGGGGGAAGAGGAAGGAGAAGGACAAGGAGAGGCGACTGACCTCCCTCAAGTGAGCTCCGCATGCACTCTCAACTGCACCATGTCCTCTCACTACCACTCTCCGTTTGCACCTTGGCCTCTCACCACCATTCCCCCATCTCCACTGCTACCCCACCCGTCCCTCCACACCGTCCTCCACCTGCTTCCCATCCCCCAAACCCATCCGTCCTCTCCCTTTCACCCTCATCTTCCCCGTCCTCTCCCTTTCTCCAACCCCTCCGGCACCCCCCCAACACCGCAGCACGGCCAACCGCCCGGGAGTGGAGGCGATAGTGTCGTGTGCGCGGGACGGCACCGCCATCATCTGGCGTCCCCGGGCCCGCCGCGTACATGTGAGTGGGCGCCATGGGAGGCAGCACACGGCGTCGTGCCGAGCATGCATGAGCGCACACGCGTGCTCGCCTTCCTCCACCCCGTTCGCCCTGCCTTCCTCCCCCTCCATCCTACATCACCCCTCATTGCCTCTCGCTTGACTGCCTTCCCCACCTCCACCCCCCCAACCTCCGTCCGCTTGTGCCCTCCCCCGCCCCCAGGGAAAGCACCAGCACTGGAACAAGGCGCTGCAGCTCACCGCCCCCCGCGCCCCCTGGCTGTCCCCCCGGGGGCTGCAGCAGGGCAGGGCGCAGGGGGCGGGGGGAGGGCAGGGGCGAGGGCGCGCGCCAGGGATGCGGCAGGGGCGGCGGCGAATATGATCATCTGGTCGCTCGACCGCCAGTTGGTGCTCGCCGCCCTCACAGGTGCGCCCTTAGCAGCTGGCATGTCATTGTTGTCAGCATGAATAGCTGCAGCAGAGATGCATGTGTGTGTAGCAGTAGGCGCTGCTGCCTCGCCTGTTGTATCCTTCCACCCAGCCAGCAATCACTCCACCCTGCCAGCAATCACTCCACCCTGCCAGCAATCACTCCACCCTGCCAGCAATCACTCCACCCTGCCAGCAATCACTCCACCCTGCCTTTCTTCTCTCAATCCCATAGTAGTCTCAGCCTCTTCCTTGGCACATATCTCTGCCGGTGCGTGTGTCCTTCTCCTCCCCCCCCCTGGGTGGCAGATGCGCGCATCTGTGTGTGGCAGGCGGCCACAGGCGAGCTCATACACTGCCTCACAGCACACCACGAGCAGGTGAGGGGGTCACAGCACACCAGGAGCAGGTGAGGGGGTCACACGCGCACAGGCACGAGCAGGTGAGGGGGTGAGAGGCGCGCACTAAGGTCCGGGTGGGTGGTTGCAGTGAAGAGGCTCTGACACTCCCACTTTCTACCTCCATTTCTGCCATCCTCGCGTGCACTCCACAACCCCTGCCTTGCTCGTTCCCCATGCCCACTGCCCCCTCACACGTTCTTGTCGAACGTCCATCCCGTAGACCCAGCCATCCCGTGGACCCGCCCATCCCGTGGACCCGCCCATCCCGTGGACCCGCCCATCCCGTAGACCCGCCCATCGAGTTTGAGGCGTCTCGAATCATTTCCCATCCGCTGCTACACGCCTCCCTCCCCCCCCCCTCCCCCATCAGGCGTTTGTGCTGGACGTGCATCCCTCGGATCCGCGCATTGCCATGAGCGCGGGGTACGACGGCCGGGTTATCGTGTGGGACATCTGGAAGGGCCAGCCAATCGCCATCCGCCACGTCACCAATTTCCAACTCGTCGACGGGCATTTCTCTCCGTAAGCCCGTTTGCGCAAATGGCCCCCCCTTGCTGCCTCCCTCGGTGTGCGCCCCCTGCTTCAATGCTTGTCGTCGCAGCAACTTGTCCGCCTCATCCAGCCTCCAGCCTCAGTAACCTTGTGCACTCTCCCATTTACCTGTCGTTCACTGATTCGTTGCACTTCCCCCCCAGGCACCCATGCTGGTTGATCCCTCTTTCCCCCATACTCATGCGTGTCCCTCTATCCCCCATGCCCATGCGCTTCCCTCCCACCCCCATGCCCATCCACAACCCCCGTTCTCCGCATGCGTATGCACATGCACATGCATGCATGGCATGGGTGACAGGGACGGCACAGGGCTGGTGGTGGCGGACGAGGTGGGGCAGGTGTATGTGTTTGCCACGGGGGGCGAGGACCAGTGGGCGCACATCCAAATGGACCAGGTACCACATCCCCCATGCCATGCTTCCATGATGCCTCTCTGTCATGCCCCCATACCCTTCACCATGCCCCCATGCCATTCACCATGCCCCCATGCCATTCACCATGCCCCCTGTGCGTCAACTGCTTCAGTGTGGTTGCGGTTCTTCTCCCACTATCTTTAACCGCCTCTCATGCTCCCTTCCCTTGCGCCTCTCATGCTCCCTTCCCTTGCGCCTCTCATGCTCCCTTCCCTTGCGCCTCTCATGCTCCCTTCCCTTGCGCCTCTCATGCTCCCTTCCCTTGCGCCTCTCATGCTCCCTTCCCTTGCGCCTCTCATGCTCCCTTCCCTTGCGCCTCTCATGCTCCCTTCCCTTGCGCCTCTCATGCTCCCTTCCCTTGCGCCTCTCATGCTCCCTTCCCTTGCGCCTCTCATGCTCCCTTCCCTTGCGCCTCTCATGCTCCCTTCCCTTGCGCCTCTCATGCTCCCTTCCCTTGCGCCTCTCATGCTCCCTTCCCTTGCGCCTCTCATGCTCCCTTCCCTTGCGCCTCTCATGCTCCCTTCCCTTGCGCCTCTCATGCTCCCTTCCCTTGCGCCTCTCATGCTCCCTTCCCTTGCGCCTCTCATGCTCCCTTCCCTTGCGCCTCTCATGCTCCCTTCCCTTGCGCCTCTCATGCTCCCTTCCCTTGCGCCTCTCATGCTCCCTTCCCTTGCGCCTCTCATGCTCCCTTCCCTTGCGCCTCTCATGCTCCCTTCCCTTGCGCCTCTCATGCTCCCTTCCCTTGCGCCTCTCATGCTCCCTTCCCTTGCGCCTCTCATGCTCCCTTCCCTTGCGCCTCTCATGCTCCCTTCCCTTGCGCCTCTCATGCTCCCTTCCCTTGCGCCTCTCATGCTCCCTTCCCTTGCGCCTCTCATGCTCCCTTCCCTTGCGCCTCTCATGCTCCCTTCCCTTGCGCCTCTCATGCTCCCTTCCCTTGCGCCTCTCATGCTCCCTTCCCTTGCGCCTCTCATGCTCCCTTCCCTTGCGCCTCTCATGCTCCCTTCCCTTGCGCCTCTCATGCTCCCTTCCCTTGCGCCTCTCATGCTCCCTTCCCTTGCGCCTCTCATGCTCCCTTCCCTTGCGCCTCTCATGCTCCCTTCCCTTGCGCCTCTCATGCTCCCTTCCCTTGCGCCTCTCATGCTCCCTTCCCTTGCGCCTCTCATGCTCCCTTCCCTTGCGCCTCTCATGCTCCCTTCCCTTGCGCCTCTCATGCTCCCTTCCCTTGCGCCCCTCATGCTCCCTTCCCTTGCGCCCCTCATGCTCCCTTCCCTTGCGCCTCTCATGCTCCCTTCCCTTGCGCCTCTCATGCTCCCTTCCCTTGCGCCTCTCATGCTCCCTTCCCTTGCGCCTCTCATGCTCCCTTCCCTTGCGCCTCTCATGCTCCCTTCCCTTGCGCCTCTCATGCTCCCTTCCCTTGCGCCTCTCATGCTCCCTTCCCTTGCGCCTCTCATGCTCCCTTCCCTTGCGCCTCTCATGCTCCCTTCCCTTGCGCCTCTCATGCTCCCTTCCCTTGCGCCTCTCATGCTCCCTTCCCTTGCGCCTCTCATGCTCCCTTCCCTTGCGCCTCTCATGCTCCCTTCCCTTGCGCCTCTCATGCTCCCTTCCCTTGCGCCTCTCATGCTCCCTTCCCTTGCGCCTCTCATGCTCCCTTCCCTTGCGCCTCTCATGCTCCCTTCCCTTGCGCCTCTCATGCTCCCTTCCCTTGCGCCCCTCATGCTCCCTTCCCTTGCGCCCCTCATGCTCCCTTCCCTTGCGCCCCTCATGCTCCCTTCCCTTGCGCCCCTCATGCTCCCTTCCCTTGCGCCCCTCATGCTCCCTTCCCTTGCGCCCCTCATGCTCCCTTCCCTTGCGCCCCTCATGCTCCCTTCCCTTGCGCCCCTCATGCTCCCTTCCCTTGCGCCCCTCATGCTCCCTTCCCTTGCGCCCCTCATGCTCCCTTCCCTTGCGCCCCTCATGCTCCCTTCCCTTGCGCCCCTCATGCTCCCTTCCCTTGCGCCCCTCATGCTCCCTTCCCTTGCGCCCCTCATGCTCCCTTCCCTTGCGCCCCTCATGCTCCCTTCCCTTGCGCCCCTCATGCTCCCTTCCCTTGCGCCCCTCATGCTCCCTTCCCTTGCGCCCCTCATGCTCCCTTCCCTTGCGCCCCTCATGCTCCCTTCCCTTGCGCCCCTCATGCTCCCTTCCCTTGCGCCCCTCATGCTCCCTTCCCTTGCGCCCCTCATGCTCCCTTCCCTTGCGCCCCTCATGCTCCCTTCCCTTGCGCCTCTCATGCTCCCTTCCCTTGCGCCCCTCATGCTCCCTTCCCTTGCGCCCCTCATGCTCCCTTCCCTTGCGCCCCTCATGCTCCCTTCCCTTGCGCCCCTCATGCTCCCTTCCCTTGCGCCCCTCATGCTCCCTTCCCTTGCGCCCCTCATGCTCCCTTCCCTTGCGCCCCTCATGCTCCCTTCCCTTGCGCCCCTCATGCTCCCTTCCCTTGCGCCCCTCATGCTCCCTTCCCTTGCGCCCCTCATGCTCCCTTCCCTTGCGCCCCTCATGCTCCCTTCCCTTGCGCCCCTCATGCTCCCTTCCCTTGCGCCCCTCATGCTCCCTTCCCTTGCGCCCCTCATGCTCCCTTCCCTTGCGCCCCTCATGCTCCCTTCCCTTGCGCCCCTCATGCTCCCTTCCCTTGCGCCCCTCATGCTCCCTTCCCTTGCGCCCCTCATGCTCCCTTCCCTTGCGCCCCTCATGCTCCCTTCCCTTGCGCCCCTCATGCTCCCTTCCCTTGCGCCCCTCATGCTCCCTTCCCTTGCGCCCCTCATGCTCCCTTCCCTTGCGCCCCTCATGCTCCCTTCCCTTGCGCCCCTCATGCTCCCTTCCCTTGCGCCCCTCATGCTCCCTTCCCTTGCGCCCCTCATGCTCCCTTCCCTTGCGCCCCTCATGCTCCCTTCCCTTGCGCCCCTCATGCTCCCTTCCCTTGCGCCCCTCATGCTCCCTTCCCTTGCGCCCCTCATGCTCCCTTCCCTTGCGCCCCTCATGCTCCCTTCCCTTGCGCCCCTCATGCTCCCTTCCCTTGCGCCCCTCATGCTCCCTTCCCTTGCGCCCCTCATGCTCCCTTCCCTTGCGCCCCTCATGCTCCCTTCCCTTGCGCCCCTCATGCTCCCTTCCCTTGCGCCCCTCATGCTCCCTTCCCTTGCGCCCCTCATGCTCCCTTCCCTTGCGCCCCTCATGCTCCCTTCCCTTGCGCCCCTCATGCTCCCTTCCCTTGCGCCCCTCATGCTCCCTTCCCTTGCGCCCCTCATGCTCCCTTCCCTTGCGCCCCTCATGCTCCCTTCCCTTGCGCCCCTCATGCTCCCTTCCCTTGCGCCTCTCATGCTCCCTTCCCTTGCGCCCCATATGTGCCGCTCATGTGCCGCTCTTCCTGCACCCCCCCTATTATCACACCATGGCATCAGTTCTTCCTGGGCGACTACCGCCGCTTCGCCCTGGATTCATTCCACAACGCCCTCGATGAGGTGGGTGGGCCCTCATGCCCTCCCCTGCACCGCTTCACTCACGCCCTTGCCTGCTCTTTCGCTCTCCCTGCACTCCTGCTCTTGCTTGCTGCTTCTCTTCGCAAATTGCATTTCCTCGTCGCCTGCACCCCCATCGCCGGCCCACCTACTCAAGCCCTCCCCCCAATGGCCCCCCATCCCGCCCTCCCTCCCCTCCCAGGAGGCGAACGTGCTAACGGAGGAGCGCACGTGGATGGATCCCATATGCGATGCGGGCATGCAGCCGTACCCCGAGCCCTACCAGTCGCGCTTCAACGCGCTGCGCTTCGCCCTGCTGGGGCGCCCCTACCACCCGTCCACCGTCCCGCTGAGGGTGGGGCGCATAGAGGCGGACGACCTAGCCTTCCAGCCTGTTCCCAACGAGCCCCTCGGTGCCCCCGGCTCCGCCCCCCTGCCCCTCCTGCCCCTGCCTGGTCTTGCTGGTGGTGGGCGCGGGGGAGGTGGGCGGAGGGACGGGGTGAGGAGAGAGGAAGGAGTAAGGGGGAGGAGGGAAGAGGATGGGGAGGTGCAGGTGGTGAGTGGGGGCGAGGAGGGGGAGGAGGGGAGGGTGGGAGGGGGAGAGGGGGGTGGTGCAGGAGTGGGTGATGGAGGGAGGGAGAGAGGGGAGGGGAGGCGGCGGGAAAGCCAGCGATGGGAGTTAAGGGAGAGGCTGCCTGTGAGGCGGTATGAGGGGTTTGAGTTGACCATTGGGGGGGAGGAGGAGAGGGGCGAGGAGGAGAGAGGGGAGGAGGACTCAGAGTATGAAGTGAGTGGGGGAGAGGAGGAGAGGCGCGGAGGGAGTGAGGAGGAGCAGGAGGGGGAGACGGAGGAGGAAGAGGAGGGTGGGCAGGGGGAGGGAGAGGGAGAGGGAGATAGGGAGGATGGGCAGGGCACGAGGCGGTCCCGAAGGCTGCTGGGGAAGAGGCGGCGGCGGTGGGGGAGGGCAGGGGAGGGCGAAGGGGATGAGGAGGACGAGGAGGGCGTTGAGGAGGTGCGGGAGCATGGGAGGCGGGAGAGGCGGATGATCACCAGGGGGAGCAGTGGCACGGGGAGTGGACGGGGCAAGGGGAAGCAGGGCGGACAGGGGCGGGGGATGAGGAATGGGAGGGGGGGAAGGGGCAGGGCGCGCAAGGTGGCAAGGGGAGGTGGAGGCGGGGGAGGCAGGGGGAGAGGGCGGGTGAGGCGCGCAGGGAAGGACGTGGAGGGGGAGGAGGAGGAGGAGTGGGGTGCAGAGCCTTGGGAGGATGCGAGTGGTGCAGGGCAGAGAAGGTTTGTTGCAGGCGAGGAAGAAGAGGATGAGTATGATGAGGAGGAAGAGGAGGAGGGAGAAGGAGAAGATGAGTGGGAAGGGGATGAGGAAGAGGAGGATGAAGAGGAAGAGGAGGAAGGTGAGGAGGAAGGGGAGGAGTATGAGGAGGAGGAGGACGTGGAGAAGTACAAGCGAGTGGGGCATGCGTCTAGAAGCCTGGCCACTGTACCTTACGCCCAGCACTGGCCACATGGGTTGCAAGCGGGGGGAGGGCATGGCGTGGGGGAAGGCAGTGGGTATGGGAGGGGGCAGCAGGACATGTTGGCAGTGAGGGGCGGGCACGGCACTATCACTCCTGTGGGCCGCCTCAAACTCAAAATCAACCTCCGAAATCCCTCTGCTGCTGCTGCTGCTGCTGCCGATGCTGCTGCTGGTGCTGATGTTGCTCCTGGCGCCGACACTGCTGGTGGCGCCGACACTGCTGGTGGTGCTGGCGCGTCTGCGGTGTGTGGTGCTGGCGGCGGCAGTGCGGGCAGCTCCAGTGCAGCGCTGCGTGGAGTGACCAAGTCGCAGCTCAAGCAGGTGCGCTGCCGTGTGGTATGGGCAATGGCGCAGGGGGCAGGGGGCAGGGGGCAGGGGGCAGGGGGCAGGGGGCAGGGGGCAGGGGGCAGGGGGCAGGGGGCAGGGGGCAGGGGACAATGGGGCATGGGGAATGGGGACACGGGGTACGGTGATATGGGCCATGGGACTTTTTAAAGCATTGGGTTTGGAAAACCTGCTAAACTCTGTATGTCCATATTTGCTGGCTTGTGCTTGCCCTCGTGTGTGTGTGTGGCACAGCGCATGGTGGCTCAACGAACCCAGGCCGCACAGGCCCTGCAGCAACACACTCTTTCCACGGCGCAGGAGGACAAGGAGGCGAAGGAGGAGGATGAGAGAGAGGAGGAGGATGATGAGGGGGATGAGGAGGTGGAGGAGGTGGAGGAGGAGGAAGAAGTGATGGAAGAGATTGGATCAGAGGAGGAGGAAGAGGAACAAGTGGTAGCAGAGGTGGATGAGGAGAACACGCCAGGGAGGAGGACGCGCAGCAACAGTCGCCATACTGCTGTGAGGCAGCCTGCTCAGATACGACCCGCTCAGATAAGACCCGCCCATTCAAGGCCCGCACAGATGAGACCTGCCCAAATGGGACCTGCCCTGCTGAGACCTGCTGGGATGGGCGTGGGTGCAGCACGAGGTGGTGATGTTGTTGAGCGCTCAGCCCAGGCAGGTGGTGCTGAGGCGATGTGGGAGGACGAGGGGGAGGAAGAGGAAGAAGAGGAAGAGGAAGAAGAGGAAGAAGAGGAAGAAGAGGGGGAAGAAGATGAAGAAGAGGAGGAAGAGGAAGAGGAGGAAGAGGAGGAGGAGGAAGAGGAGGAGGAAGAGCCGGGGAACTGGAAAACGGAGCCTGACTGGGGGAAGAGGGTCACGTGCAAACGCTCAGCAGGGGCACGGGCGCTCCCTGCTGGTAGGGGGGAGGTGCGGGGGGGTGGCGGGGGGGCCAGGCAGTCAGTGCGTGTGGTGGCAGGCAAGGGCAGGGGAAGGGGCAGGGGGAGGGGGAGGGGGAGGGGGAGAGGCAGGGGGAGGGGAGCAGGGAGTGCATCTGGAAGGGCGGGGCAAGGGAGGGGCGCGGGCGGCAGAGGAAGAGGCAGCAAGGCACGAGTTGCCGGATCAGGTGGGGAAGGGGGCAGGGCGCGGGTGGGGTCGGGGAGGGCTTGGGGAGGTGTGGGAGAGAGGGGGAGGCGAGCTTTGGGTGAGACGAGCGGGGAGGGGCTGGCAGGGGATGGGGAGGGCAGTGAGGACGAAGATGCAGAGGGGATGGGCAGGGATGAGAGTGAGGGAGAGGGGCGTGCAGGTGGGAAAAGTGGGGGAGGGGAGAGGGGCGAGGGGGGTGACGTGGTGAAGGGAGGACACGTGTTGAGGGCTAGGACACCGCGGGGGAAAGGAAAGGGGGAAGAGAAAGGAGAGGCGAGGAAGAGAAATGAGGGGCATGAGAGTGAGGAGGAAGAGAGTGAGGAGGGGCAAGAGAATGAGGAGGGGCAAGAGAATGAGGAGGGGCAAGAGAATGAGGAGGGGCAAGAGAATGAGGAGGGGCAAGAGAATGAGGAAAGCGAAGAGCGAGCAGGGGTTGAGCGAGGGCGCATTTCGAATTCGGTCATGCAGAGTGCGTCCCTGGGTACTGACGAACGTGCAGCCGTGCGTGGGGTGGGCGCTGTGTGGGCTGTGCAGATGACGACGACGCCTGGCGCCCCTCCAAGCGCTCCCGCTGCTGACTCCGCGCCGGTTGGCGGTGCTAACAATCCAACTGATGCTGCTGGAGGTGCTGCTGCTGCCGCTGCTACAGCAGCGGCGCGCGGGGGGCTGCCGGTTGCGGTGCCGGCTGGCACGAGGAGGAAGAGGAACGCGCGTGGGACAGCAGTGCAGCGCACGGGCCGCACAGACAGACTGGGAGGAGGGGGCGTGCAGGAGGGTAGGGGCGGCGGTGGGGCAGGTGTGTGTGCTCTGGCGCTGCTGCTTCCCCGCACAGCAGCACCGGCTGCTGCTGTGTGTGAGGCCGGTGGTGCGGACATGGTGGGTCCTGGGAGCGGGGTCAGTGTGGGCGACCACGCTGCAGGACAGCACGATGGTGGACGGGCAGACGAAGGGGTAGATGGAGGGGCAGGTGAAGGAGCAGGTAGTCATGTCGAGTGCAGGACAGAGGCTGGAGAGGAGAAGGGAGCGACTGGCGAGGAGGAAGGAAAGGGAGAGGATGTGAGGAAGGGGGGGGAGGGTGAGAGCGCAGAGGAGGGCACGAGCGAGGCAGGTGTTGGTGTGGTGGCGGGTGAGGTTGACAGCACGGCCGCGCAGGGACGTCATTTTGAGGCAGCGGACAGTGCAAACACGGATGGGATGGCTGGGATCAAGGGGCAAGGGCACGAGGACAGTGATGACGAGCAGGGGATGTTGACTGCCTCTGCTTGTGCTGCTGGTGCCGCTGGTGGTGCTTCTTGTGCCGAGACTGCTGCTGATGCTGCTGGTGCGGATGGTGCTGCGATTGATGGTTGTGCCGCAGCAGAGGGTGGAGAAGGTTGGTTGCTGCAGAGTGTTTTGGGGGCAGAGAGCAGGGGGGGCAGTGAGGGCGCAGGGGGTGCGGGGGACGCAGGGGAGTGGGGGGAGGAAGGGGGGGAGATGAGTGCGCGCAAGGAGGAGCTGTTCGTTGAGCTGTTTGGGGAGGAGGGCGCGGAGGACGGCGCAGGGCTGCCCGGGGATGACCTGCTCAGCCCGATTGGTGCTGGGGTGGTGGGCACGGAGGAGGGCGGTGGGGAGGAGGGCGGCAGAGAGGAGGGCGGCAGAGAGGAGGGCGGCAGAGAGGAGAGGGAGGAGGGCAGCAGGGAGGAGGGCGTGAAGGAGGAGGGCGTGAAGGAGGAGGGCGTGAAGGAGGAGGGCGTGAAGGAGGAGGGCGACGGAGGCAATACCAGCCATGGGAGTGGGAGTAAGCAAGGGGACGCGAATGGGGAAACAGGGCGTGAGGGGGACAGCGGTGGCGGGCAAGCAGGGAGCGATGATGGCGTGAAGGCGCATGGCAGTGAATGGGGCAGCTGTGAGGGGCAGCATGCATGCGCGGTTGGTGCGCCTGCTGATGCCCCCGCTGCTGTCAGGGCCGGCAGCGCAGGAGAGGCTAGAGAGCAGGCTCGCGAGGAGGGTGGGAGGAGTGCAGAGGGGGGTGCTGAGGAGCAGCGGTGTGCGGAGGAGGAAGGGGAGGGCCGGGATAATGCGGAAGGGAATGCGGAGGGCGAGCAGAGGGAGGAGGGTGCGAATGGTGGTGGCGATGATGGTGGGCACAGCGAGGGCGAGAGAAGAGGGGGTGGCGCTGCTGATGGGGAGGAGACGTGTGAGGGGAGAGGAGAGGGAAAAGGGGAAGCAGAGCAGGGGGGGAGAGGGGGAATGGAGAGAGGGATGGTCTGGGCGCGGATGCGCGGCCGCGTGGCACGTGTGAGTGGGTGGCAGATGGTGGGGCGACGGGGGCACAAGGGGATGAGCGAGATGCTAGTGGTGATTCAGACAAGGGGAATGGGGCGAAGGAGGAGGGGTGTGAGGGGAACAACGAGCTCAGAATAGAGCAAGAGGGGAGGATGAGTGGGAGGAGGAACGTGAGGAGGCGGCTGGAGCATAGGAAGAGAGAGGCAGGGGAGGATGCTAATGGGGAAAGTGCAGGGGAGCATGGGAATGGGATTGAGAGCAGTGCGGTGCAGAAAGGGGAGTCGGAGCATGATACAAGCAATGATGCTGAGGAGGATGGGGAGGAAGGGGAGGAGGAGGAGGTAAAGAGTGAAGAGGAGGCAGATGAGGCCGAGGAGGAAGAGGGGGAGGAGGAGGAGAGTGAGTCATATGGTGAGTCAAGTGAGGGTGATGGGAGTGATGAAAGTGAGGGGAGTGATGAGGGTGGTGAGAGTGATAGGAGTGATGGGAGTGATGGGAGTGATGGAAGTGATGGGAGTGATGGGAGTGAGGGAAGTGATGGGAGTGACGCAAGTGAGGAAAGTGAGGTGAGTGAGGGGAGTGAGGACATGGGGGGGCAGAGGAAGAGGAAGAGGGCAGCGCCTCCACAAACCAGGAGCACTCGCCGCCGCCGGGGCAAGCGGGCCACACGCACACAAACAGCAGGGCGGCAGCAGCGGGGCAGGCAGAGCACCGCACAGCACCGGACCCCACCCTCTCGGCGCGCTGCTCCCACCACGCCTCGCGTGAACCACACTGCGAGCCCACGTCTGCGCCCACGTCTCTCTGCCTCGCCTGCTGCCACGCCCACCGCCTCCGGCGCTCGCAGCTCCCCCCTGGCCCTCTCCTCCAGAAGCCCCCGCCTCGCTGCCACTACCCCGCGCGCTTCCCCCCGTCTTACAGCCACGGCGCCCTCTCCTGGGACAGTGGGGGCTGAGGCGAGAGGAAGTCGCGATGGAGAGAGGGGCGATGGGGGCGGGAGGGCAGCGGGCCGGGTGCGAGCGGGTGCGGGGTGGGTGGGAGCGACAGAGTGGAGGGAGGGCGACCCTTACCTGCCTGAGGTGGGTGATGACGTCATCTACTGCTTCCAGGGCCACCTCAGCTTCCTGGAAAGTGCTGGGCGCAGCCGCAGCCGCGGGCTGGACGAGAAGCTTCGGAGGAAGCTGCGGCCGGCGGAGCTGTGTGTGGTGGAGGAGGTGGGGTACTACTGGGTGGAGAGCGGTGGCAGGGGGGCGGGGCAGGGGCGGCGAGGGGGAGGCAGGGGGGCAGGGGAGGCACGGCGAGTGGGGTGCAGAGCGGTGCTGCGGGTTGTGGAGAGTGAGAGCCCGGCGTGTGGGGAGAGGGTGGGCGTGGAGGTGGAGGAGGAGGGCGAGGAGTATGTGGTGGAACGCTGGCGCTATGATGCTGCCATGGCCAAGGGCTGGCACCCCAAACAGCACTGCCTGGTATGCCCGCACAACAAAGGGGTCTGCTGGATTCTGGGAGGTGGTTCATGCAGCATGCACCAAAAATTTCCACCGCTCTACTTGCTGCGCTGCCCTCCCCTCCTTTTCACCACCCCTGCCCTCTCCATCCCTCCCCATGCACGCCCCTCTATGCCTGGCCGCAGGCGTATTGGAGCAGGGAGTCGCTGCCAGCGGGCCTCAAGCCACCGCCCCTGCCGGAGTCGGCATCGGGCAGGGCAGTGGCAGAGCACCCGCGTGCAGTGCTGTTCCGCGGCCGCATCCAGACAGACAGCCCCTTCGACCCCGCCCTGCCCCTCAGCCCCTGGCGCAGGTCAGCCCCTCACCGCTTGCTGCTCCTCACCGCTTGCTGCTCCTCACCGCTTGCTGCTCCTCTTGTACCCATTCTCCCACTCTCCCCCACTGCTCGCTCCACTGCCCTCTGCATGCCCTCTGCTGCACACCCCTCCGATCTCACCCCTGTCCCCCCCTCCTCTCCCTCTCCCTCTCCCCATCAGGCTACGGGTGCACTACGCGCATGACCGCAGTGTGGAGAGGCAGAGCGCATGGGAGCTGCTGGACCCCGACCCTGCACTCTGGCCCACTCGCCCCGCCATGCCCGCACACCTGCTCGCTGCGGCCTGGGAGGCACTGCGCGCGGTGGAGCAGGACGAGGAGGTGGAAGACACACTGCACCTGCTCTACTCGCCCGACTCCTCCCCGCTGCACTCTCCAGCATCCCAGTGCCCATGAGCGTGGCACTGGTGCAGGCGCGCATGGCATCGGGGTGGTACCGCTCACTGGACGCACTGCTGCACGACACCACCCTCATCGCCTCCAATGCCCTCCACCTCCACGGCGCCGCCCACCCTATCGCTGCTGCTGCCGCCCACTTCTCCTCACAGTTTGCCGCCCGCCTCAAGGCCCTCACTAGTGAGAGCAGGGAGTGAGGCAGCCCACATTGCTGCGTGTGACTTGGCTGTAAATAATGTGGCGGTGCTTCATTTGCTCTCTGACCTAGATAGGCCGCAACTTTAGTCAGATTAGTTACCGGTACTAGTTTACAGCCATGTTTAGGTTCTACTAACAGGCTTCTAAATTCTGATGTAGCTCATGAATGAAGGATAGAAATAATGTTGATGACTATCGTACGTAATAATCAGGTGTTACGAATTCTAGACATGCTACACAACTCCTACCCTAGATCTATCATATCAATACATGATTTGTCCACACGTTCCCCCCAGTTAGAAAAGATCTACATCCTATCGACGATCAATGGAGCGGCATACAATGGATGTGGTCACGCTCGCGACGTATGAATCACAACGTGCTCGTCATCCAAAGTAGATGGGTCCGGAAGTGGCCTTATTGCGCATGCGCGTGTAGAAGTCCGCCATCTCTGCCTGCTCTGCCGCCATCTCTGCCGCTTCTGCCAGCTCCTCTCTCCGCCCCGACCCTCCCCGACCCCACTGGGCAAATGGACCCGATGGGTTCCGAAGCTGCCCCGAAGTTGCAAAAGAAGGAAAGTTTTTTCTCAGCTGCCCAGACGGGGTGACTTGGGCAGCAGAGTACTCTCCGTTGCTGGGCACTCTCACCATCTGCGCTGATTGCGCCACTATGCCCGACATTTCAACCTGCCCGGACAGCCCCACGTTGGAGCGGGCTCTGCGCAGCCATTGGTTAGGGCCACGCTGGGGCGCGTTAAGCTGCCCGGAGGAGGCGGTGAGGTGGGCGGCAGCGAGCGGGTTGGTGAAGCGCACCACCCCTGACACCGCCCGCCTTGCCTGCTGCATTGACTGGCTTGACTGCATTGGCTGCTGGAATGATTGGCCTGGAAGGCTTCCAGCCTGTGGGGAAGCAGCACGGGGGGACGATTGCCTCGCCTGCCCCTGCCCATGCCCATGATGCCCGTGCCCCTGCCCCTGGGCGTGCATGGGCATGGGGGGTGTGCCGGCACCATGTGTGCCGAGCTGCTTGAGTATTCTCAGCTGCCCCGACCGGTTCAGCTGACCAAAGTGCGGCATCTGCCCCCATGCCGACCCCGATGCCGACAACATGCCCGAACCTGCAATCCCCGAACCTATTCCCGAACTCATCCCCGACCCTGCGATGCCCGAACCGCCACCCTCGGCAGCCCCAAGCCCCCCACCCACCAGTTGCCCCGAAATGCGCACATGGTGCTCCCCTGCTGCACCCGCAGCAGCGGTGGTGTCGGTGGAGCCAGAGGGGGCAGCATGGGCATGGGGAGGAGGGCCCATGGCAGAGTAAGACCATGCGCCGCTGCCACTGCCGTTGCTCATCATGCTGTTGCCGGTGGGGTAGGCAGTGGCAGTGGTGGTGCTGTTGAGGTTCAGGTGCTCCGGCACCTGCAGCTGCCCTGACGCAAGGCGCCTCAGCTGCCCCGATGTGCGCAGCTGCCCGGAAGCTCTGAGCTGCCCCGAGGGGTTGAGCTGCCCGGAGGCTGTGAGGTGGCCCGAACGACCCACGCGGATGCTCTGTGGGCCGGTATGGGGAGGGGGAGGGGAGGGCGGCGAGACAAGGGTGTTGGGGATAAGCCAGGGAAAAATAAGCGAGGAGTGGGATCGGGGAGTGCGCAAGGAACAGCAGAGCAGAGCAGAGGGCATAGGGTGCAGGGAGCAGTGGGGGAGAGGACGGCAACCAACAGCAGGTAGCAGCGTGGAGCAGGGGGCAGGGGGCACTGACCCGGGAGCGCAGCATGGAGGGCGTGGGGGCGTAGTCGGCACCGCTGTCCTCCACGGGGTACTGTGGGTCTGATGGCCATGCCATGGGGAGAAGAGGTCGGACAGGGAGGAAAGAATGAAGGGACTGGGTGGTGCCAACAGGGAGGCTCTGTGAGTGCGTAGGAGCAAGGGTACAAGGGGACGTTGGGGTGAGGGTGGAGAGGCGTGCAGGTGAGCAGGCGGGGGAAACAAAGCACGAGGCTTGTGCAAGGACAGAGCGGGCAGGGCGGGGAAGTGGGCTGACCTGCAGCGGCAGCGAGGGCAGCAACGAGGGCAGCGCGGTGGGAGGGCGACACAGAGAGGCCGCGCCTGAGCGTGGGCGTGGAGCCCCCCGTGCCCGGCAGGCCGCCACTGCCCACCCGCGGCAGCCCCCCACTGCTTGCTCGCGGTAGCCCCCCCACCGCTGCCCCTCCTGCACCAGCGGCAGCGGAATCCGCAGAGCTCACCCGCACCATGCGCGCCGCCCCGCCCTCCCCTGCTGCTGCTGCGCCCTGTGCCCCCGGTTGTGGGGGGGCTTGGCCAAGGCCGGGCATGGAGGGCTGGGAGGCGGAGGCATGGATGGGCAGGTGGGAGGGCAGGTGCATGCCATGCAGGTGCATCTGGTGCAGCAGCGACGGCTCTATCCCGCTCAGCGAACCCACCGCCGCACTGCCCTCCGCCTCCTGCTCGCCCCCTGCTCGCCTCCCTGCCCCCCCTCTGTTGGACGGTGACTGCGGCTGTGTGCCGGGCTGGCTGCCTGCATTGCTGCCCCCATGACTGCCTCCATAGCTTCCCCCGTAGCTGCCAGCATAGCTGCCTGCGGCCAGGGACAGAGGCAACGTGCCCCCGCCCAGGCCCCCAGCATGCCTGCCCATGCCTGCGCCCACGCCCATGAACTCCGCCCCTGCAGGCCGCCCCATGGCGTCAATAGGCCCCGACATGCCCCTCTGCCTTCCCCCTGCGCCCATCCCCGCGCCCAGCTCGCCTGAGGGGAACCGCCTCCCCCCTGCCCGCGCTCCCGCCCCCTCTGCCAGCTCCCCCGACCGCCTCAACTCCCCTGATCGCCTCAACTCCCCCGACCGCCTGGGCCTGCCTGCTGGCCGCCCTGCCACCAGCCGCCCAGACAGCCGGCCAGACAGCCGCCCGGACAGCCGCCCAGAGGCGCTGCCCATGCGCAGGCGGCCCGAGAGGCGGTGCGGGTGGAGGGAGTGCGAGTGGGGCAGGGCGTGGTGCGGCGTGGCGGGCGCGGGGGGGCGCGGGTCAGACGCCCAGATGACCGCCAGCGGCCCCGACACCGACCGCACCAGCCTCCTCAACGCCGCCCGCCCCCACGCCTCCTCCCCCACCTCCTCCACCGCATCCCGCCCTTTTTCCTTCCCCTCACACCCCCCTTCCCCCTGTGCGTCGTCCCCCTCACCGCCCTCCCCCAGCCTGGCGGCCTCCCTAGCGGCAGCAGAAGGGGGCAGCAGCGGGCCAGAGGGGGGACGGGGCATGGCAGCGCTGGTGAAGGCGGTGGGGGTGGGGGCGTGGAAGAGGATGGGACCGGAGATGGCACGCGAGGGCTTCAAGGAAGAAGGGTGGCGGCGCGATGAAAAGGACGGGAGAGCGAAGAGACGGCGCGAGGGCGCAGGCAGGCGCTCACTGGCGGGCAGGAGAGGGGGGGACGGGCCTGGGGGGGGTGCTGCTCCACCCCCTGCTGCTGCCGCCATGAAGGCTGCTGCATGCAGCGATGAGGGCAGGGATGACAGCTGCGCCATGCCCCCCTGCATGCCCTCCTCCCCCATCCCGCCCATCCCACCCATTCCACCCATGTCGCCCCCCTGGTGCTGCTGTGCCTCCGCCACCAGCTGTTGGCAGGGCGCGGGGAGAGCAACGAGGGGAGGTGGGGGGGGAAGTAAAAGAGCGGTGATGAGGGAGGGAGAGAAGGGCACGTGGAGGTGGTATGGGGTGCACACACCCAACGCACATAGCGGCCAGTGCTCGTGAACCCCATGGCGTGAGCAGGGTTGAGGGGGCGGGAGAGTTGGGGGGCCAGGAGAGGAGGGGTAGGTACGTACCTGAGCATATGCCTCAAGGGGGTCGAGGTCGAGATCCAGGTCACCCTCCATGTCCTCATCGTACTCCTCCCCCTCCATGTACCACGGCGCTCCTGTGGCGTCGTACCCGCTGCTCGCAATAGGGAGGGGAAGGGGACGCACGCAGTGACACGCAGGGGGCAGAGGGGTGCACCGGGGAAGGGGGCGGGTTGAGCAGGTGGCACGAGGGGAGAGAGTGTAGAGAGGAGAGGGAGGGAATGAAGACAGGAGAGGGAGGGCAGGGGACAAGCAACAAAGCTGGTGCCACAAGTGATGGCCGTGAGGGCGGATGTTGGTGGGGCATGGGAAAGAAACGGAAGGCTTACTGTGCATAGAGTAGCGCCTCCCGTCGCCTTCTTGATGCTGTGACACAAACACACACATGCACATGCACATGCACAAGTCAGCGCCAGCACATATAGCCGAGCATTCATCATAAACAGCAGCACCCCTCCCTTGTAACCCCTCGCCTCTCCTCACATCACCCCCTCCCCCCCTTCCCCTCACCCCTACGGCTGAGCACGGTGCAGATGGCGACGCCAGCAACAAGGATAGCCGCAGCCATGGCGGCCCATGCGCCGTACGAGATGCCTAAAGGCGGCCCCTCCGCGCCCTGGGGCGCGCTGTTGGAGGGCGGCGCGGCGGCCATGGAGCAGTTGAAGGAGGAGATGCGGCCCGAGGGCAGCGCCAGGAAGTAGGATGATGCTGCAAAGATGAGCGCGGGAGACGTGCTGTTGGGGGGGGAGGCAATGGAATAAGAAGAGAAGTTGAATGAGGAGATGCAGCCGGAGGGCAACGCCAGGAAGTAGGATGATGCTGCGAATATCATCGCAGGGGACGTGCTGGTGGGAGGGGGAAGTGGGGAGGGGGGTGGAGGCAGGATAAGGGGAAATTGGTGCGCGAAGGGAGGGAAGAGCAGGTTGGGATGGGACGGGAGGCGGTGGAATAAGAAGGTGTGAAACGAGGCAGCAGCACAGGCTGACGGCTGAGGGAGGGGGCAGCGTAGTGAGCAACCCCATGTGGATGAGTGGGGAGTGAGGGGGCGAGAGGGGAGCAGCGACTTACATAAGGTTGTGCAGCAACACTCCCGGCATGTTAAAGCTGGTGGCCTGGAACAAGTTGACGGTGGACTGCACCAGGATGCCGATGAGGTGCCCCAGCAGGCGAGGGAGGGTACTTACATGAGGTTGTGGAGCAGTTGACCGGGCATGTTAAAGCTGGTGGCTTGGAAGAAGTTGACAGTGGACTGCACGAGGATGCTGCCCGCATAGATGGCCTCGATCGCCACGTCCACCTGCCCCTCGTACCCCGTGGCCCTCGCCGCGGCGCTCATCTGCGCCTGAAACTGCGCCTGGAACTCCTGCAGCCGCGCACCGTCGCGGATGGCGCTGATGTTGGCCCCCCCCAGCACCACCACGCTGCGCACCAACACCCCGTACTGCGGCGCCTCGCCCCCCATGCTGCTGTTGCTGCTGCTGCTGCTGTTGCTGCCTGTGCTGCTGTTGCCGGTGCTCCCAGGGGCGGGCGGGGCGCCATGCAGGGGGAAGACAGGTGGAGCAGGTGGGGAGGGGGGCGGGGGGGGAGTGTAGGGGGGCGCGGCGGCGAGGGGGAGGGGCGAGGGGCGGCCGGAGGGCAGGAGGCAGAGACCCGAGGCGTGGTCGCAGGTGGCTGGTGCACGACAGGTGGAGGCTGGCGTGAGGGCGAGTGGTGAGCACGCTACCTGATGGTGGAGGGCGGAGGAAGACGAGCACAGGCGAGGGGCTTTCAGTATATAAAGAGGAGGAGGCACAAGGTATGTACGAACGGTACAGGAAGCACCTGAGGGAGCACCTGACGAAGCACCTGAGTAAGCACCTGATGGAGCATCTGCGGAAGCATCTGGAGAAACACCTGCAGAAGTAGCTGGCAGGTTCTCACCTGGGAGCAGTCAGCAGCCGCGTAGCCAGGCAGGCAGTAGCACGTGCTGTTGTAGCATATGCCTGCTCACACGCACCACAGGAAGGAGTGGAGGCGGGAAGGAACACAGGAACGCACGGGCAGGGTGGTCAACAGGACAGCGGAGGGGAGGGCAGCACACACAGCAGTAGGCAGGGTAGCCGCTCTGCCTCATCGCTCACCGCCTATAATTTCCGCCTCTTCCCCCACTCTCCGTGCGCCTCTTCCCCCACTCTCCGTGCGCCCCTTCCCCCACTCTCCGTGCGCCCCTTCCCCCACTCTCCGTGCGCCCCTTCCCCCACTCTCCGTGCGCCCCTTCCCCCACTCTCCGTGCGCCCCTTCCCCCACTCTCCGTGCGCCCCTTCCCCCACTCTCCGTGCGCCCCTTCCCCCACTCTCCGTGCGCCCCTTCCCCCACTCTCCGTGCGCCCCTTCCCCCACTCTCCGTGCGCCCCTTCCCCCACTCTCCGTGCGCCCCTTCCCCCACTCTCCGTGCGCCCCTTCCCCCACTCTCCGTGCGCCCCTTCCCCCACTCTCCGTGCGCCCCTTCCCCCACTCTCCGTGCGCCCCTTCCCCCACTCTCCGTGCGCCCCTTCCCCCACTCTCCGTGCGCCCCTTCCCCCACTCTCCGTGCGCCCCTTCCCCCACTCTCCGTGCGCCCCTTCCCCCACTCTCCGTGCGCCCCTTCCCCCACTCTCCGTGCGCCCCTTCCCCCACTCTCCGTGCGCCCCTTCCCCCACTCTCCGTGCGCCCCTTCCCCCACTCTCCGTGCGCCCCTTCCCCCACTCTCCGTGCGCCCCTTCCCCCACTCTCCGTGCGCCCCTTCCCCCACTCTCCGTGCGCCCCTTCCCCCACTCTCCGTGCGCCCCTTCCCCCACTCTCCGTGCGCCCCTTCCCCCACTCTCCGTGCGCCCCTTCCCCCACTCTCCGTGCGCCCCTTCCCCCACTCTCCGTGCGCCCCTTCCCCCACTCTCCGTGCGCCCCTTCCCCCACTCTCCGTGCGCCCCTTCCCCCACTCTCCGTGCGCCCCTTCCCCCACTCTCCGTGCGCCCCTTCCCCCACTCTCCGTGCGCCCCTTCCCCCACTCTCCGTGCGCCCCTTCCCCCACTCTCCGTGCGCCCCTTCCCCCACTCTCCGTGCGCCCCTTCCCCCACTCTCCGTGCGCCCCTTCCCCCACTCTCCGTGCGCCCCTTCCCCCACTCTCCGTGCGCCCCTTCCCCCACTCTCCGTGCGCCCCTTCCCCCACTCTCCGTGCGCCCCTTCCCCCACTCTCCGTGCGCCCCTTCCCCCACTCTCCGTGCGCCCCTTCCCCCACTCTCCGTGCGCCCCTTCCCCCACTCTCCGTGCGCCCCTTCCCCCACTCTCCGTGCGCCCCTTCCCCCACTCTCCGTGCGCCCCTTCCCCCACTCTCCGTGCGCCCCTTCCCCCACTCTCCGTGCGCCCCTTCCCCCACTCTCCGTGCGCCCCTTCCCCCACTCTCCGTGCGCCCCTTCCCCCACTCTCCGTGCGCCTCTTCCCCCACTCTCCGTGCGCCCCTTCCCCCACTCTCCGTGCGCCCCTTCCCCCACTCTCCGTGCGCCCCTTCCCCCACTCTCCGTGCGCCCCTTCCCCCACTCTCCGTGCGCCCCTTCCCCCACTCTCCGTGCGCCCCTTCCCCCACTCTCCGTGCGCCCCTTCCCCCACTCTCCGTGCGCCCCTTCCCCCACTCTCCGTGCGCCCCTTCCCCCACTCTCCGTGCGCCCCTTCCCCCACTCTCCGTGCGCCCCTTCCCCCACTCTCCGTGCGCCCCTTCCCCCACTCTCCGTGCGCCCCTTCCCCCACTCTCCGTGCGCCCCTTCCCCCACTCTCCGTGCGCCCCTTCCCCCACTCTCCGTGCGCCCCTTCCCCCACTCTCCGTGCGCCCCTTCCCCCACTCTCCGTGCGCCCCTTCCCCCACTCTCCGTGCGCCCCTTCCCCCACTCTCCGTGCGCCCCTTCCCCCACTCTCCGTGCGCCCCTTCCCCCACTCTCCGTGCGCCCCTTCCCCCACTCTCCGTGCGCCCCTTCCCCCACTCTCCGTGCGCCCCTTCCCCCACTCTCCGTGCGCCCCTTCCCCCACTCTCCGTGCGCCCCTTCCCCCACTCTCCGTGCGCCCCTTCCCCCACTCTCCGTGCGCCCCTTCCCCCACTCTCCGTGCGCCCCTTCCCCCACTCTCCGTGCGCCCCTTCCCCCACTCTCCGTGCGCCCCTTCCCCCACTCTCCGTGCGCCCCTTCCCCCACTCTCCGTGCGCCCCTTCCCCCACTCTCCGTGCGCCCCTTCCCCCACTCTCCGTGCGCCCCTTCCCCCACTCTCCGTGCGCCCCTTCCCCCACTCTCCGTGCGCCCCTTCCCCCACTCTCCGTGCGCCCCTTCCCCCACTCTCCGTGCGCCCCTTCCCCCACTCTCCGTGCGCCCCTTCCCCCACTCTCCGTGCGCCCCTTCCCCCACTCTCCGTGCGCCCCTTCCCCCACTCTCCGTGCGCCCCTTCCCCCACTCTCCGTGCGCCCCTTCCCCCACTCTCCGTGCGCCCCTTCCCCCACTCTCCGTGCGCCCCTTCCCCCACTCTCCGTGCGCACCTTTCCCCGAGCAGTCGTTGGGGCACATGGCAGAGAGGCACATGCGGCGGTTGTCAGGGCAGGGGCCGATGGTCCCCCCGTGGAAGTCCCCCCGCCCTGGTCGAGAGCCACCATGCGCCCCGACGGACACGGATACCACTGTCCGCCCACGCGCACCTCCACCACCATCCCGCCCCCGTGCTTCCCCCGCCCCTTCCCCTTGCCCTTCCCCCGCAGTTGGCGCTTCGGGGTGGAGGAAGGGGCGCGCGACGACAGTGCAGTGCTGCCCTGCGCCGTGGGGGCGAGCGAGGCACTGCCGTTGCCACTGGCGGCAGCAGGAGGGGCATCAGCGGAGTCAGCGGAGCGGGAGGAGCGCGAGTCATGGGAGGAGTGGTCGGAGGAGGAGGCGGATGAGGGGACGCAGCGCATGGGGTAGCAGCCGGCGCCGGGGGGAGGCACGGCACCGGCACCAAAGGCATAGTCGAAGAACTGTGGGCCGTGCAGGAAGCAGCGCGATGACGGGCCGTACGCCATGCCCAGCTGCTGCACCTCCGCTGCCCTGCTCTCCTCCGGCCCACGTGGTGCTTGGCAGCGCTGCGACTCCACACTGCAGAGGGGGGAGGAGGGTGGAGGCGAGGTGGCATGAGGCAAGTGGAGCTGGAAGGCGGTGGAGGTTGGAGAGTGATTCGCGAGTAATGCCGCGTACCTGGTCTTGTGCTTGCACGTGCCGAAGAGGCAGGACGAGGGGGAGGAGGAAGAGGAAGGCGCACAGCCCGAGTCACAGGTGGCGACGGAGAGGAAGTCAGACGAGCACGTCAGCGGCTGGGGGAGGGATGGGGGTTGGGGTGGGGGGGGTGGAGGGGAAGGGGGAGACGGTGAGAGGGCGAGGCGAGGTATGGCAGAGCGATGACAGCAGGAGAGGAGCATGGGGGGCAGTGCGAGGCACAGCAGCAGCAGGCAGCCATGGCATGGCAGTACTCCCACGGCGAACCCACCCACCATGAGCACGCGGCGCACTTCCCCCCCCGCGGAGAAGGTGGCGGAGCGGTTGAGGTCCGCCGCAGAGCAGAACCCGGGGGGCGTGCTGTCGGACGCGGACGCGGAGGCGGAGGCGGAGGGGGAGGGCGGGCAGGAGAGGGTGGCAGTGGCAGCGGAGCAGCCGCGGTGGTAGCCGGCGCGCAGCATGCCCGCCATGCCTGGCGTCACGGCGTACCAGCCGCTGTCCTGGAATAGCGCCAGTGTCAGCTCCGATACCACTGGTACCCCGTCCAAAAGCGGCGTCTGGGGGGGGAATAAAGGGGGGAAAGAGGAGGAAGGGAACGGGTAAGGAAGGGGGGAGGGGATATGAGCGAGTGCGAAGGGAAAGAGGGGATGGGAGGCAGAGGGGCCCATTCCAGCACGCAGGTGCGTTGCAATGCCTCCTCGCCGCCACTGGACTCTTCTCGCTCTCTCTCCCTGCTCTCCTCCTCACCATGTACTCGTGCTCGAAGCGCAGCACGCTCCAATGGCTGCTCACCACCTCCCCCCCCTCCGCGCCCCCTTCCAGCGCCACTCCCCCCGTCAGCGCGTTCTGCGGCTGCACCGAGGTCACCAGCGACCCCCACTCCGTGCTGTTCGCCTCCGCGGGGGCCGCGGAGGGGGCGGGAGAGGCGGGCGCGGAGGCGGAGGGCGGGGCGGAGTGCAGCTCGGCGCCGTCGAGCGCGGGGCAGTCGAAGTGGCGCTGCGCTGCGGCCACCACGGCGGGCGTGACGATCTTCGACACAGTGCTGCCGTCCGCCTGCTTTGCCGTCGCCACCACCTGCGCGTACGGCTGGCCTGGTGGGCGCGGAGGGAGGGAGAGAGAGCGGGAGGAAACAAAGTGCGCAGAGGCATGACTGTGGAGAGACGAGGGGAGGAGACAAGGCACACGGAGGGCAGCAGCGGAGTGGCGGGGCGTGAGAAGCGGCGTACCTCTTACGTCCTTGAAGAGCGGGAAGAGCGCGGAGCTGAAGGCGAGCGCGTGCGTGAGCTGGTGCAGCACCACGTGCACCTGGGGGGAAGCAGGGACGGAATGGGAGGGGCAACGGGGGAGACGTGGTGGTCAGGGGGACGGCGATGGAGGGACGTAGGGGGAATGAAAAAGGGAGGTAGGAGTGCGGGCGTGATGTAAAAAGGGAAGAAGTGAGTTATAAGGGAGGTAAAACAGGTGGAGCGGGTGTTATGTATGCGCATGCCCCCACGAGCAGAGCTCCCCACAGATTCTTCTCCCCCCTTGGTACCGTGTCGTACCTGCGAGTCGTACGACGGCGAGTGCTGCCCCACGGCGCGCCAAGCCAGCGGGCAGAGGTTCAGCGACGCGGCGAGCGGGCGGTTCGACGCCGGGTCCACCGCGCAGTGCGACGCGTGGGCCGCCGCTGTCGTGCTGCCGCACGTGGCCGTTTGCTGCTCCGCGCCGAGGGCGGGGGAAAGAGAGAAGGGCACGGGGGAGAACGGGGGGTGCGTTAATTGGGAGGGTGAATGCAGGAGGGGATGACGGGAGCTGTGGGGGGAGGGCTGGATGAAGGAGGCACGCGGCAGGCGCAGCGGAGGGGGGAGCTGGTAGGCGGGGCGACTCACTTTGGCTGAGAGAAACAGGATGACGTCAGCACCAGGTGTGCCTGTCCCGGCTGCCACCTCCCCACACGTGGCGGGGTCCTCTGATTGGCAGAGCGAATGCGCCGCCAGCAGGGATGGGTCCACGTCGATGTCCACCTCAGCCTGCACGGATGGACCACAGAACGCCACGTCACATCGAGGAACAGCCACGTGGACATGGCGTGAAAGCGGGTGTTAGATGCACGCTGTTGCGGCACTTGCACTCCTATCCCCCCCTCTTCCTCTCCCCATCGCCCCTTCATCCCCCCCGCCCACATGTCGCCCCCTTATATATTGATGGTTTTTAGTATTCGTAGGCTCTGCCTCGTCTCACGTCGCACACGGGCGGCACTCACGTCGCACACGGGCGGCACTCACGTCGCACACGGGCGCGAGCTGCGTGCAGGCGGAGGAGCCGTTGGAGAGCGCGGTGAACACGGCGCACGTCACGGGCAGCAGCAGCGGGTCGGGCGGCAGCACGCGCACTGACAGCAACCGACTCAGGTAGCTGGGGGAGGGGGGTTGCGTGGAAAGGGAGAAGAGCGCGGAGCGGAGGGGAGAGGGGAATAGGGTGAGAGGATGTGGGTGGGGAGCGTGGGAGGCGGGAAGAGAGGTGGGCGAAGGTGACCAACGGGAGGCGCGACTTTCGTACCTGAGCGCGTCGGGCACGAGCGTGCCTTGGATGTACTTCGCCCGCAGCGGGTCGTCGGGTAGGTCCTGCTCCACCGACGACACCTGCTCAACGTGGTCAATGGGGTCAACGGGATGGGCGGGATTAGGTGTTCTACGCATGCTTTTGGCTGGGGCATTGAGCGGGCGGGTAACCATGAGCGGGTGGGAAGAAAGGGGTGCTGAAAAGGGGTGAGTTTGGGGCAGCGGGCGCACCGTGTGGAAGCGGAGTGGTCGAGGGGGGGAAGCGGAGGCGGCGGAGACAGTGGCGGCGGGAGGGGCGGACTTCAGCAGCTGCCGCGAGGGCGCGGAGGGGCGTTGACGCGCCCACTCTCCCACGCCGAACCTGGGGGTTACGGAGTGGAAGGGAATTGAATATGACGATATACTGCCGTCGACGCAATTCGTCGCTCACGCTTCCCCGTCTGTCCCCATCCCCCCTTTCCTTCTTCCCCCCTCCAACCCCTCCCCCTACTCTCACACACTCCTTGACTTGCGTCGGCTCCCAGGTCTCATCTTGGGCTGTACGGCCCTACCAACCCTGTGCCGCACGGCCCCACCCACCCTGTACGGTACGCCCCACTCACCCTGTACCGCACGGCCCCACCCACCCTGTACCGCACAGCCCCACCCACCCTGTACCGCACGGCCCCACCCACCCTGTGCGGTACGACGCCAGTTGCCGGCGCGTGTGCTCTCTGCTGCGCGCCGCCACGTGCGAGTCGTGCACGCACGTGAACGGCCGCTCCGCCACGTGGGACGCGGCGTGGTTTAAATCCCATCCATCGCCGCGGCACGGCCGACACGCTGCTGCAAGAATGACGAGCGCTGCAGAGGGGTAGGGGATTTGCGGAGAGAGTCGGAGGCGCGAAGTGAGGAATGTCGTATCGGAGGGCTACTTGATGCTGCGGTAGCGGCGCGGTGAGGAACTACGACGATGGTCGAGGTGAGTGCGCTAACGAGCGACGCGGATGGCGACGCGGTAGCAACGAGAACGCACACGATGACGGCGAGGCGCACAAAATTGCGAGCCTAAACGACTAGAGCGAAGATCTACTCGCAGGAGTGGACTGCTCTAAGGGATCGTACGGCGACGCAGCAGGAAGGCTCAAGAATCGAGACGCGCAACGTGAAATCGCACCTGTGAGGAGCGCTATGCGGTAATCGAGGAGCAGCGGCGTGGACGTCGCTGCCATGGCTGCCGGCAAAAGGTGACTGGATTAAGCGGTCCTAGCATGGAGTGGACTATTGCCTAGCTTGAAGAGAGATAGTACCCGTACAGTGAAAGCATTATGTGAGCCACCTGGAAACTTGCCAGGACTAGGAAACCCTAAACACTAGTGAACTCTGTCAACTAGGCGAATCAACTAAGCACATGTAGAGCAGGCAAGCGCATCACTCTGCTTCTGTGTGATGGCCGCCGTTCGGCTAACCTGCTCGGCCCATCACTTGTTTTGCCTGACCGACTTCTTTGGTTGGCATGGCGACCCACAGCAGAGCAGTTATGGGCGTGGGTGGGTTGTGCCGGGACGGGTGCGCGGTGGTGCAGAGATGGGTCTCCCAGAGCAGGGCTGTGGGGAGGGGAAGTCAGAAGCCACGCGAATGTGCGACGCGGCTCCAGTTCAGATGCCTCACGACGACACGAATTGCAGACTGGCGGGAAGTAGCGGACCGCGCAGATTCTGAACATTGCGGTACACCGCAATCAGTAAAATGTAGTCTTCTTTTATGACACGTAAATTCTGGCTACATAATCTTTCACTCTGCCACACGTTCAACCCAGATCTCATGCTTCTAGCTTAGCAGTGCCCAGTTACCCTGTGAGAAATCTAAACAAAAAATTAGGGTTTGTATGGTACATGGTAACCCTCTACAAAAAGCAGTGTCTCCTGAGGGATGCAGTCAATAGTGTTGTTTAGCATTGTTGGGTTAGATGATGTTAGAAATAGAAGAGGAACCTAGGCTTAGGTGAAACCCTAGCCTAGGTGAGAGTTGAGAGTAACGAGATGTAAGTTGGGCAAAGTGTCAAATGTTGTAGCCTATAGTGAGGTTTGTCTTAGGGGGTACAAAACTTAGGGTTAGCTATATGTACCCCAACCAACATCAATGCATCATCCATTCTTCATTCTGACATGGTATCAGTTAGGTTAGGATCCTGTGGGATCCCGTTCCTCCGTTCTCCGTTCGAGCCTCCCGAGCCTGATCCTAGCTCTCATTCGTCCCGGTTTCGTTGTTACCGCGCGTAGTGCCGCGCCTAGCGCCACTCCTAGCGTCGCGTCCTGCCCGCCCTTTCCCCCTCGTCGCGTCCCTTTCCCCCCGTCGCGTCGCGCCCTTTCCCCCCAGTCGAGTCGCGCCCTTTCCCCCCGTCGCGTCGCGCCCTTTCCCCCTCGTCGCGTCCCTTTCCCCCCGTCGCGTCGCGCCCTTTCCCCCCGTCACGTCGCCCTGCCCCGTCCCGTCGCCCTGCCCCGTCCCGTCGCCCTGCCCCGTCGCGTCGCCCTGCCCCGTCACGTCGCCCTGCCCCGTCCCGTCGCCCTGCCCCGTCCCGTCGCCCTGCCCCGTCGCGTCGCCCTGCCCCGTCGCGTCGCCCTGCCCCGTCGCATCGCGCCCGCCCTTTCCCCCGTCCCGTCGACCCTACGCCCTGGCCCGTCGCCCTAGCCCGTTCTTCCGCTGCGACTAAGTCCCCCCCCCCCCCCACCTGAACCCTAATTTGCCTCTTACCTCCTGCTGTTACTCGCCTGCTCGTTCGCGTTCGTTCTCGCTATGGCGACTCCGCGAGTTCTTCGTTTCGACGCTGACGGTAGACCTCTTGACTTTTCCGTCTGGCTTCTTCGCGCTCGCCGTCTGTTAGAGAGTCAAGTCCAGGGGGGCGAGACCCTCTGGTCGCACGCTACTGGTGACCTCCCCGAGCCCCCCGAGCCTGCCGCTTTAGGTCCTGCCCCTGACGATGCTGCTACGGCTCGCTTTGCCCGTCAGCGCGCTGACAGGACGGCTTGGACGTCGCGTGACGCTGCGGCCTGCATCGCACTCAGCAGCCTCCTCCCTGAGTCAGAGGAGGTCCACTTCACTCAGGTTCGCACCGCTGCTGCGTACCTCACTGCGATTAAGGCCCGCTACTCTACTCCCGCTACTGTCTCTCTTGGCCGTCTTTTCCTCCCGTTCCTGTTTCCTGATCTCGCCTCGTTTGAGCGCTCTGCTGACTTGATCGCTCACCTCCGCTCGCTCGACGCTAGTTACCGCGCTGCTTGCACTGAGGCACAGCTTGCACTGCTTCCTCCCCCTATGGCGATTACTATCTATTTCATCGCCACTAGCCTCCCTGACCGCCTTGCCTCCGTTCGCGACGCGCTTCTGCTGAAGCACCCTAGTGAGCTCACCGTCGATGTCCTTGAGTCTACACTCAAGGACGTCGAGAGCAACCTTCGCTCGGTAGCCGCTGCCTCTGGTGCTGTGCCCCCCCCACTCTTCCACGGGTGCACAGTCCCGCAGTTACCCACCTTTACTGCCTCACTTGCCACTGCCGCTACTGACGCGACTGCAGCTGCTGTTACGACTGCGTCGCGGTCCCGCGGTAGGAGTGGCAAGAAAGGCGGTTCTGGTGGTGGTAGTGGAGGTGGAGGCGGAGGTAGTGGAGGTGGCGTTGCGCCTGGCGGCGGTGGAGGTTCAGGGCCTGGAGAGGCGCCTCGTGCAGTGACTGGTGACTCCACTGCGCCTGCTGGTGGTGGCGACGCCCGAGTTCGTCAGTCGCCTCCTGTACTTCCTGCCCCGGTTGGTGGAGCAGCGGCGTGGTACCAGGCTCAGCGTCAGCAGCAGCTTCTGCAGCAGCAGCAGCCCCTCTCCTCCCAGCAGCCTCAGCAGCAGCAGCGGCAGCAGCTGGCTCCAGGGTCGGGGCTGCGTCAGACCCAGCGCGGTGCTGCTTACACTCCCTGCACCTACCAGGTTCTGACAGGCACTCGTCGTGGCCACCCTTGTGGCCGGTTTCACCCCCCTGGTCAGTGCTTTGCTCAGCTCACTGACACGGTTCGTTTGGTCTACGGGGTTGGTGCTCCTGCCCCTGACTGGCTGCCTCTTGTTCAGCGTTACGGCTCCGCTCTGTGGGGCATGTCTGCTGAGCAGTTAGTTGATCTGATTGGTACTCCCCATGCTATGTATGCTGTTGTTGACTCTAGTGTTTCTGACTCTGCTTACTCTGGTGTTGTTAGCTTAGGTGCTAGCCTTGCTCAGTTGCCTGTTGCTAGTGTAGGTTCTTGTGTAGACTCTAGTCCAGCGGCTACCTCAGAGGACGGTTCGCTGTCGTTCACGCTGGACTCTGGAGCCTCTCACTGCTTCTTTCGTGACAGCACGACACTTACGCCTCTTCCTGCGCCTGTTTCTGTGGCGCTGGCTGATCCCACTTCGGGACCAGTCACCGCGCGTCACACTACCACCTTGCCGTGTCCGGCTGCTCCTTCTGGGTCTCTCACTGGGTTTCACGTCCCCTCGTTCTCCCGGAACTTGGTGGGCGTGCGACCCCTCGTGAGTCAGCACGTGGGTGTGTGGTTTGAGCCTTCTGGAGAGACTGCGGTGTGTGTTGACGGGGACTCTTACCAGCCCCTCGCCACTTTTGCTGCTGAGCCGGGCTCCGGTCTCTACACTCTTCACACTGGCCCGCGCGCTCAGCAGCGACTGCAGCAGCAGCAGCAGCCGCAGCAGCAGCAGCCAGCAGCAGCAGCAGCAGCCGCAGCCGCAGCCGCAGCCACAGCGGCCGCCGTCGCAGCAGCCACTCCTCCCAGTTCCTTCCTCCTCCCCCTCTCCTCCCGTCTCTGGACCGCCGCTTCCTCCTCCTGACCCCTCTCCCGCTGTTTTCCCTCGTTCTCAGTCTTCGTTGTCCCCTCCTCCTTCTCAGACTTGGGCCTCTCGTCGCTCCCCTCGTGCTCGTCCCTCGTCTCCTGTTCCCTTCACTGACCTTCGTACTGCCTTACTTCGTTCTAGTCCACCTCGTCCGTCTCCGTCTGTGCTTCCGTCTCCTCCTGAGTCGGCTCTCACTGCGTCGCTCCCTACTCCTGTCACTGACTACTACCGCACGTACCGTCCTCTTCTCTCTCGTGTTCTCGCCTCGCTTGTTACTCACCCTCGTGCCTCTGTGTCCTCTGTGTCCGCTCTTACTGCCGCAGTCACTGACTTTGCCTCTACCCGCCGCCTTGACTTCGCCACCGCTCTTGTGGCTGCTCCTCCTTCCAGTCCTCTGGCCGTCGGGGGTGTGTCTGCCCTTGGCTGTGACGCCCTAGAGGACAGGCAGTTTGAGCTAGAGTTCCTGGCGGCCGCTTCCCCTCATCTCTGTGCCATGCTCCTCGCCCCTGAGGGTGACCCCGACGCCCTTGACATTCCGACTCCTCGCACTTACGCTGAGGCAGTGTCAGGGCCTTGGGCCTCTCAGTGGAGAGCTGCCATGGACGCAGAGATGGCCTCCTACAGATCCACAGGCACCTACGTCGATGAGGTTCCCCCTCCGGGGGCGAACGTAGTCGACGGCATGTGGATCTACAGGGTGAAGCGGCCACCGGGATCTCCTCCGGTCTTCAAGGTGCGCTACGTGGCTAGAGGTTTCAGTCAGCGCGAGGGAGTTGACTTCTTTCAGACCTTCGCGCCCACCCCGAAGATGACCACTCTTCGGGTGTTACTACACGTAGCAGCACAGAGAGACTACGAGTTACACTCTCTCGACTTCTCTACTGCTTTCCTTCAGGGCAGTCTTCACGAGGAGGTCTGGTTGCGTCGTCCCTCTGCCTTCACTGGCTCTTTCCCTCCTGGGACCCAGTGGAGGCTGAGGCGACCGGTTTACGGTCTTCGTCAGGCTCCTCGTGAGTGGCACGACACCCTGCGTTCTACCCTGTCTGACCTTGGGTTCCAGCCGTCTTCTGCTGACCCGTCGCTGTTCGTTCGTCGTGGCCCCACACCTTTCTTTGTTCTGGTCTACGTTGACGACCTTGTTTTCGCCACCCCTGACAGGGTTGCTTTGGCATACGTGAAGTCCGAACTGCAGAAGAGACACACCTGCACTGATCTTGGTGAGCTGCGCCACTACCTTGGCCTGCAGATCACCAGGGACAGAGCTGCTCGCACCATTACACTTTCACAGTCGCACATGGTGCAGCAGGTCCTTCAGCGGTTCGGGCTTCAGCACTCCACAGTACAGCGCACACCTCTTGCTGTTGACCAC